TTCTAAGACGCTTTGTTCATTGTTTACGTTGATTGATACAGTAGCTATATTAGTTAGGTTAGATTAGTGAAGTGGTTTATTTCTAAGTAGATGTCTAAAGTAGTTAGGTTTTCGATAATAAAACGTATAATATAGTTTACCACTCAGTTTTGGTTTAGCATTGCAAATATAACCCTTATAGGAAATAGAAGTCTTTTAAATTAAAATGGGAGGAGGTATTTGTGGTAATGCGAAAATAACTTCTTCTGTTCTTTCACGCGGCTGAATCGATTTTGGTATAAAGGTAGTTTGAGTCCTGGAAAAGCAAGGCTTTACCGCGGCAGAACTTCTCATTCCCACGGAAAAATCTAAAACGCGCGTTATAACCGAATTCCACGCAAGCGAACAGCTGTTTGTTTGTTTGCCTGTCTTAAACGGCAAAACGGAGGAACTTAACGTGATTTTTCAACTGAAGGTAGTTGAAGGAATGGGTAGTCACATAGGCTACGTTTTATCTTTTTGTGACGCGAGCGAAGCCGCAGGTAAAAGCTAGTATATATATAAAAATGAATCAAGCGTGAATGGCCAATTTCACTAATTCTTTTGTTGTTGTATTTGTTATTATTAGGAGAAGGTTCTTAAGACATAATAAATCATGAACATCCTACGGGAACGGGAGAAAACGGGATAGCGCGTACGAAGTCGCGGGCAGAAGCTAGTAGGTATATATATATAATATCGTTAAAAACATAGGTAGTTCTCTATATGACAAATAGTTGGCTGTAAACGTTCTATACCTTCCCTTATTTCAAGGCATTTGATGACTGGATGGAGAAAACTTCATCGATATCACTACATCGGATACTTCACCATAGTTAACCATTACAGCATTACTCCAAAACAATGCGTGAATTTGTTAAAAATATTGCATCACGCAACATAACGCATGCCTTACTTTCTTCACCGTTCAAATCAATACACAACAGACCATGATAATATAATAGCTACGAAGTAAACGTATGTGATTCACAGTACAATGGCTTCTTCAAGGGAAATGTATTCATTAATCGATAAAGGAAAAGCTCTTTCTTACTTTACTTTCACAAACAGCTACCAATATACGACCACACCCACCATTACATGTTCCATCGCCGTTCGTGTGTGGTAGCTAATCAATTCGCGCTCCACTGAACGTGAAATGGATGATGGAGCAATCGATAATGTAATCGATATTATTTGTGAACGTGTTAATCGATTGCAGGTTACTTCGAAGATTGTATGTGAAGATATTACTTTATTAGACTACAGTTGAATGACTTCAGTAAAAAGATCAAGCTTTAGATTCTGAGTTGCAAAATACTTACTCATATATTGAATTTAGAAATGTTTGGACATAATTATATCGAATTAAAATTTAATTTCATTAGGTAAATATAAACTTAACCTTGTTTAGTTATGTAATACTTAAATTAGTAAATGACATAAAACAATAGATAAGTAACGAAATAAAGTAGAAATAACGAAATGTTTACTACCTCTATACATGTGGGATTGTATGTGTGTATCCGAATACTTGGTGAACTTATATAATGTTGTGTGAATGAATCCGAACGGATGGAATGAAAGGGTATGATTGAGATTGATAGAAAATAGCGGACAGTTGATGAACGAAGACGTTGCTCTATTTTATGATATTGTAAAAGACGGTTATTTTTTTACTTTAAAATTAGTTTAACTGAAACCCCTAGACACTGAGAACCTAACGGGTTACTGGGGCTCCGGCTCGACGTGCAGGAGTAGGAACGGGGTTGTTTTTAGTCAGTAGGAGTCTGACACTCCCTCCCGCCTCACCCAGGCGGGAGCATCATTCGATGATTTTCCCCACTTAAAAAAAAATCTTCATACATATTAATCATGATTTCATCATACCAATTTTTTTTTACTACGTCAATAAAAAAGAGATATTCTTATTTTAAACAGCAGCAGCAACGGCTTATTTTGCGTACCGAAATACTAACATATGCAACATAAAGCTGCCTTTAATTAATATTCTAATAAGCATTTTCAATTAGAAACGTTTAACTATCATTAGATATCTATTAACAAGTACCTATAGGATGCACTTCTTGAACAAATATGTTTATTGCAATTCATAGGGAAAGTCTACCAGCATATTTGCAACTTGCTAACTATCCTTTGAATAATTTCACGTAAGAAAATTTCGAAATTATCGGCTTTTCTATTCGATTGTAGATATTTGAGAAATGCTTACTAGTTTGTGTTCAAGTTCGATTGAACGTTGACAGTGATAAAGTGAGCTTAATATCGAGATTAGAATGAAAGTCAAGATTGGCATAGCGCTAAGTTGTTATACTGCTGAGATACTCAGAGACATTTAATGACTACTTAAACTATTCCTTAGTAACGATTTTTTCCGAAAACATTTGCTAAGGACTGGATTAAGTAGCCATTAGATGACTCTGTAGTAGTAAGTAAGACATAAAGAGGTAAACAGATTTACTTTCGCATTCAAAATATTACTTAGATATATTACTTAGATATGACATTAACATTGTTCTAATTTATAAAGTTCTAAAAGTAATGGCACATAAACCATCTGATGCGTGTCGTGCTGCCATCTACTCGTAATATCTGACATTAGGAACGTTGTGCACATTTCACACGCATTGCTAGATGGCGCTGTTATGCCAAATAACGTCAATTTGGAAAAAATGGTGCTTTATTAAAAATATTTTACCGGAACATTACTAAGTATGTAAATAGTATATTTTCTGTATATTTTAACCTATATTTTTTGTTTAGGTAGATATTTGTATGCAAAGTCATTACTATTCATGTAGGCTTTATTTAACTAGGTGGATGCGTTAACTGGTAAGTTGCGTCAGTTCATGTTTTATGTTCCATATTCAAATGCCGTGCTGATTTAATAAGGTTTACGTTACAAGTAACAATGTAAGTACTTCCATTTATGGATGACATACAGCCTGTATAACTTGAATTGTTTCTTTTCAATGAGCATAGAAACAATAGTGCCCATGATTTTAGGTTGCCGTAAGTAAAAATAAATTCTTATTTAATTTATGCAGTGCACTATAATTTAATGAATATTCAATTTAACTTCAGCCAAAATACCCAGTTAATGAAGTTATTTTTGGACACTGGCCCACTTTGAAATAGTAACAGTTCCGCCAAGTAACTTTATCTAGTTCATATTTTCTGATCTGTCGGTTATGTAAAAGCGTCGGATAATGTACAATTATCATAATTATTCAATATAATGAGCTATACGAGCGTAAAAATAAATCAGGCCTAGCGGACCGCGTCTACCATAAATATTTTCCATTCATGGTAAAAATAAATCGATTAAAAAGACTAAAGAATTCGTGTTACGAAAGAAATTAGCGATTAATCGGAGCGAGCACATATACTTGCATCAATATTTATAAAGATGGTGGCGGTAGCTCGGGTGCGAGCGGCGCGCGCATACCACTGCTGCACTTCGCGAATGCAGTGCGGAAATTGCACTATTTAAAAGAACAATAAAAAATTTATAATCGATTTTTTGTATCGCGAAAGTGGCAACATTGTTTTGCTCAGAACGTATTTCGAAAAGTAACGTTGATCTTTAGTGCTTGCGAATATTATACGAATCGTGTTTTAATGAGTGCTGGTGAACGAAAATTTATTGAAAAATGGAAAACTTTTACGATGTTATCAGGACGCTCAGTAGAAAAACTCTGAAACGAAAACCAAAGGTAACATAATCTTAGAATAAGAAGTACGAAAGGAGTAATTCACATTGACCTACTTACTGATAATAGTAAATACATAAGGCCGCCTTTATTACTTCATTACTCTTTCATTAGAATTTTATTAATCTTTATTTATTTTATATTTTGTTATGTAACCTAGGTAGGCTATTATTGTAACCTACACACCGAAGAAATTTTATTACTTAATTAATTTGCAGTAGGCACTGGTACTGTATAATTGCTGGTAGCTGTAATATTTTGTAGAGTTTTATTACGTATTTTGCTGTTACTTGCCTATTAATGGATTACTATTGAGTCCAACTATAGACTTACGTGCCTAAGAGCATAGAGTTTAGATGGGCCGATTAAAAAGTAAAAGATTTTTAAACTTTTTATTTACCTAGAAGAGAACTTCTTTAAAGAATACTGATTCGACACACTGTTTCTTATTACTATCTCGGTATTAAATTCGCCTCTGCACTTAAATTACTTATTGTAAAATACAAGTTGTAAAATTTGATTTTAATTATGATTAATCCTTTTTTAGGTTAGTGGCCACTAACACAACTGCTAAAATTGATTTCTTGGTTCTATTATTGTAATTGTTAAGAATATTTATCCAGTCGTAGATAGGTGAACCTGTTCCAAATAACCTGTACGAAGCTAATATAAGAAGGTGTTAAGTAATAACATTTTATTTAGTAATAACTGTCAGTAATGTATAAATAATTACTATGAATCGGTACAATTCACTCAGTACAAATATCTACTTAGTATAAACTAAGTAGTATAAACTAGATATAAATACAAATATACATATGGACCTATATTTTCCACCTGAATTAAAAGTAATACAGTTATAATTCAGGCAATTGAAGAAAGAATATAGAATTATTGTAACGAATCAAATGCAGTAAATCATATCACCCGGTTTCTATTGAAAATCATCCGTAGATATAGAGTCCAAGCAACGGGTCCACCACAGTAAAACTGATTTATTTAGCGATCGTGCGCGCGCGCACATTCACGCTTTCCTGATCTCCAGCGATGTACCGACACCGGCCGAGTGCCAAGTACCGCAAAGATGCCGATCTTCAGATTCTTTCGTTGGAAAAGTAAAACGAAAAAAAATATGTTGTTAGGCCGCTGGAATATAAAAATCTATAGCAATTACTTGGGTATTTAAAACAAATGAGTCAATTATTAAATTAATTGAATTATACTAACCAAAAACTTTTATTGTTACAGGTTCAACCCAAACCTACCACAAATGGAGTTACAAAGGAACGCGTCTCAGAACGTGAAACAAGAGAGACAAGAGAGTCCAGAGACTCTAGGGACTCTCGGGAAATACGCGAATTACGAGAAACGAGAGATTCCAGAGAAGAGACGGACCATGTCGAAAGAAGAGCACAGACTACATCGCCAGTACCACGAGAAAGAGATAGAGAACGAGAGAGGGAGAGGGATAGAGACAGAGATAGGGATAGGGAACGAGAAAGGGAGATGAGGGAAGAGAGGAGAGACCAGTCAACGCCACAGCACGATGGCAGACATCCGCTGTTGCAGTTTGCCGTCGACCACTTCAGACAGAGCCCAGAGTGAGTACTTGTCGATGTTTGTTTAACCTCTCTTACTACATAATGGTCACCGTAGCATCAGGTGTCTTTCCTTACGGCAAAATAGCCTATTGTTGTACCTTAGTTCGGACAAGAAGTTGCATTTTCCTGCGTGTGAAAAAATGTTGTCACTTTACGCAATTTGTGTCTCAATTTTCAATACGTCTATTTCTTTGCTAAGTATATTCTCAACAGGTAAATAGAAAGCTGATAATGACGTTAAAATGACAGAATTGAAAGTTCTACAAACACTAAACAATCCAATCACACGTTTGCGACGCATTTACGCTTTTAAAATGCAATTTGTTGCATAAAGACATTACGCCTAGACTCGGAACAATTGTCCTGCTTGATAATCAAGTCCTCATTTTACTGACCTATAAACAATATATTAGCTTAATTTAGTTTTAGTGGTGTGAGTTAGTAATGTTTTCTTCATAATATTTTAGGTGGCTAGTTTAAAGTCTGTGATGTTTCTTTTGTAATTTGGTCACGTTAGCGCCATCTGTCTTTAGCCGTTTGCACCAATTGAATGGCATGTCGTGTTACAGAATTTCATTCGTATTATAAAAAGAATTTCATTAATAATTCTTAAATATATAGCTGTTGGATATCTTATAAACTAAGTGTTACTTTGAAAATGTTTTAATCATGTTTTGCAATTTGTTTTTTCATAACATCATCATTTGTTTGTTAGTTCATGTGTTCGTACCTAACATGTCAAGATGTCGCTTTTCGATCTTTTGCCTCTTAGATTTCCTAAGACTATTTAACTATTTAGTAAGATTATCAATTCTGGTGCTCATTCATTTTATTTGTTCCTAACATCTTGTAATTTATTTTTAAAACTGTCCTTTTAATAGCCACACGGAAAACAAACGTTTTGTAACATTTAATCTGCTTGTGTTTTGAAAACTTCCAACATCAGTGTTGCCTAAAATTAATTGCCGAATTAATGTTGCCTAACTGGAAAATGGGTAATCGTTGTTAAACTACCTACCTAATTGAGAAGCGATGTACGAACATTGTTCACAATTTAAACCTATCACGCAATTGATTTATTGGAGCAGTTTTTAATTGGAAAATACATAAAAACTGTAATTGGTAAACTTAAAAGTTACCTACTGTATCGAATAAATAACCGACCCCTATGTTAGAAAAAATATAATATTGTTTTGATCTCTAACTTTGTTCAAATTAATTGCATAACGTTAATGATTCATTTAGGCACAACTTTACATAGTGGATATACAGACAAAAAATATATAATTTAAAAACGCGTAACGTTATTTTTTACAAATTTTATTCAATTTTAACAGTAGCTGTATCCATAATAACAATGCTTTCTAAAAAAGCCGTGGGTAACAGTTTTACATTGAATGCAGGATTCCTACGTATTCCAGGTATCTTCGGAATACTTTTTATTTGCAATTCGTTAATGGGTTATGTAGGGTTGTCCGGAACCTCTACGTAATATAGTATGCCCCTATGTGTTTCAGAAATATTCAGGCTTTCTGGAAATTATTAATATTTCCTCATTATCTTATCTTACAGTGCCATTTACTGTTTACTGTCAATGAGCATTTATTTTTCTACTGATGTCATTTGTAGCCGTTTATAGGGTAGCCTCAAATCAAGGGATGATGTTACTTATATCATCAACTTTTAATTGTCCTAGTACCTACTTAAGCAATATGTATGATGGAACAATCATTAATAGACTTAGTGTTTAGTTTTAGAGTATTTTCGCAACTGTTATGAGTGTCTAATCATTCCTAATTTATTTTACAACTGTTGCAATTTATTTCATTTGGTTTCCTTTGCAAATATTATCTTGTAATCTATCTTCACCTTTTTAGATGCTTTGCCTGATACCCTCATCCAATAGCTTCTAATTGAACAGCGCAATATGCTATTGTTTACTTTTGCAATTTCATACTTAGAATCGATTCAATTAAAGCTTGGTTAATAATTTGTTAAGATTAGTTAGCAATATTATTTGTATTTTCCTATGACGAGCATAATTAAATTCGTTACGGACATCTTACGTAGGTACTGTTTAACTTATTAGACTGTGGCTTACCTACTTAAAAAACTGTCAGTCACTTCTTTCCCACCTTCCTTCGTCTAAAATAGTAATTTGTTGCACATACCATTAAATTTGTTTGTAATTATTGCAATTTCGGTTATCTTGGTAAATTTGGACTCCTTACCAAATATTAATCCAAGTAACGATACGTTCTGCTTTCCACGGAACAATGGCCGCTGTCAGTGTTACACTTTACTTGTTTTGTTATATCATAATAATGCTGCGCTCGAGAGAACGGAAAATATCTTAATTTCTACTTCCCTGTGAAGTTATGCTTACCTATTGCAAAACAAATCCATCTATTTCAGCAAAATCCTTTCAACTGTACAGTTTCGGAGATGATTTTTGATGTTGCAACAACGCAGTGTGTTTTGCATCGAAACCGTCATCTCACAGTCGTCTGCTTGGCCCAGTTAAAAAAGAAAACAAAAGCTTTTCGTAATGAATTTTCATTATGAAGCAACGTCTTTGTAAACGAGATTCGGTTGCAATTTTACAAAAACAATGCGCCATAAAAACAACTTGGTAAAAAGTAGAGCAGCCCTAGTTAGTTGATGAGCACCGTTGGCGTGGAACGCACCTGAGAGGTCGCGGGGCATTCGTCGCCAGAGCAAGTGTAACCTTCGGCCATGCCGTGTGCACTCGCAGAGCGAATCAAACACCGAGTGCAAGTATCCGATTTATTTCAAACTTACCTTCATTTACAAACGTCACATTATTTTTTGTATTAGCAATTTGTCAGCCTGTTTTCAAGTCCCCGGTTACAGTGTACGTCTAATTAATACCGTGTGTTGTGTGTGTTTAATTGGTGTTTGTAGTAATTACTGTTATTAATAGTGTATGTGTTTCCGTCAGTGGTTCCGTCAGTTAGGTGCTTTAAGTGGCTCTCTAACTTTGTTGCAGTTTCTTTCAATTTATATAAGAACGGTGTGACATAGTGGTAACCTGTCTACGTATTATAGAATACTTATCATGAATATTAACAAAATGTTATGATAATGTTCCAATCAACATTAATATAAATGACAGCATTGACACGAACCAAAATAAAGCCATCAATGACCAACTAAACTAAAAACTAGGTATAAAGAATCGCGTAACATCGTAATAATCCGAATAATGACGTTACCGCTAAATACGTTAACACGAGCAACGTTTTGAAAGCCGAAATGAATCGTTAAATTATTCAAAATTTACTTCCTCGGCGTTGAGCGCTTTCCCCGATACGTTTAGTCGGTGATCGGCCGTCGGACGATGTCGATGGAGTCGTTAGGCGAGAGCAACGCAGACATGACTGAAGACAGTCTGTCAAGTGACGATTTTGACGAAGAAGGTCTATCGTTCGATGATGAAAGCGGGAACGGGAACGACTTACTGTGAGAGTCTTTTTGTTTTGTGATTTGTGCCTGTTTTCGTGGAAAGTTGATAATTGTGCTTTTGTTTACTTCTGGTTTTTTTTTATTGTGGCTACACTTGAGTGGAATGTCAGTTAGTTGTCACGGTAATTATTAAGAGTGGCGCTAGTGAGTTACTGTGGTGCTTACCTGAGTAATCATAACAAGTCTTCGTCTGTTCTAAAGTCTATTTTATATGCGCAAACCATACCTACTCATAATATTTTTTTTTTAATTTAAAGATTTCTTTAATTGTTCGTTCATTTTCTGAATTAAATTAACAATTCTAAATAGAAGTTCTAATGTCATTTAGACTATTTAACCTTTTGAGTACCGTCATTATCGACACAATTAAAGAACAATAGGTTGCGGTCACCGGTGTCCTCGCGGTGTTTGACAGTTTAAGGTAGTTTTACGATGTCGCGGAGAACCTAACGGGGTAACCGGGGCTCCGGCTCGACGTGCAGGAGAAGGAACGGGGTGGTTTTTAGTCAGTAAGAGTCTGACACTCCCTTCCGCCTCACCCAGGCGGGAGCAGTCATTCGATGATTTTCCCCCCTTAAAAAAAAAAAAAGGTAGTTTTACGATAAATTAATTTTATATGCACTGCGAACATACGATTCTAACCTCTAGCAATAATCAAAAAATTCTGTGTGTTTTGTTTACAAAATCTTTAAACTATTGAATAGTTACATGTGTTTCCATAATACAATGCAACTTAGTACACAACTGCATTGCATATATTATATCTAAAATCTACTCAGATCATAAGCCACAAAATTTACAAGATATGTTCCTCATTGTTTAACTTTAATGAGATGACAATAAAAATAAAAGCAATTTTACGCATAAGTACCTACATGACTCAGAAGAAAGTTGTCAAACACAGTTCCCATGTGCCTAATTAACACTATAAAGTTTTTCTGTCACCATAATTTAGATACTGGAGTGCTTTGTTCAATAAGCAAGTCAGACAAATAATGACTTATTATAATTATTGTAAATAAAGTACCGCATAGCGGCATAGCACAAATTTAAGAAATGCGATTGAAAAGGGTAATTAGTTTTTTATTTTTCAATTACCATAACTCCCATAATGTTTATTTATAGTAACTATCGTGAGACATACTAAAAATCGCGTATTAACTAATATCTACTCACTCGCTCACTCACGAACCGAGTTCGAAACCAGTAGAGATTTTCTCAGTAAGAATATTCACGTGAGTAACCCGCGATTTTTAGTTAATCCCATGTGGTCAAAAATTTAGACCTATCTACTTATTTATGTCCGTACTTCCTTGTTTCTTAATATTTTTAATTTTTTTTTTGTTTACTAATGTCACATGCTAGCACACTGCTACTACTACAGATAAAAAATAAAAGTCTCGCTTTAAGTTAAAACTGACAACACCAAAATTATGACCTGTACCTAAATTATGTCCTGACTTATCGAGGAAACGCTTGTCCATAAATAACAGGATTCAAGATATTTGCAAGTTCTGCAGCGGATGAACTTTCATGCACATGGTTTTTCAACAAAAAACCTTAATTCTCTCAGTTATATAAACTAAGCCGCGTTTTTACATCTCTCGTTGAAACCGCTTCCTTTTATTGTTATATGTGAATATGTGTTCCACGGTTGTTATAGTTAATCTAATAACAAGTGGGAAACTGGTTAGTGTTTACAGTTCAATTATCTATTATTATATAGACTTAGTAAATTATACTTATTTTACAAGGCTGATAGACGATAAAAATGTTTGTTTATTTCTTGGTGTCAACCCCTACGGTCCCTACCTGTCATGAAAGAAAGTAAGTAGGTAGGTACTAGTTCTCTAAAAAGAAGAATAAGGTAGGTTTTGTAAATGAAATTGCCTTCAACAATAAACCATTGTCTTTATACACTTTAACTAGCAAACCCGACGAACTCGGTTTCGCCACCAGGTGGCTTGTTGTAACATATTGTTTGGTAATTAAAAGATGAAGATTTTTTTTTGTTTTAAGTTTTATAAACCTCACGAAGCCCGAGACCTTTCCAACGAATGCAAAACCGTGGAAATCGACTCGTGCGTTCTGGAATTATAGCGTCAAGAAGGAAAACCCGACTTATTTTTATATAGTAGAAGATTATCTGTGGATTTAGATAATTTTTTGACAGATGTTAATTTTCTGAGATCAGTTATTAATTTTGGCCTTACGTTTTCCTGGCAACACAAACTAAAAGAAATGTGATTGGTCATTTCCTTCGAACTAGAATAGATGTCCGAAATTACACTTAGTCATAGCAAGTAAAGATGTCTAATTAATTTTATTTAATTAATGAACATCGGTATTAGTAGGAAACACAACATTCCTATAAATCCATATGAGAAATCGTTTGCACATCGCATCGAGGATATCCCGGTATAATAGCCGTTTTCGTTTTGAAATTATTTCCGCAAACCATGTTACGCTTTCGATAGCTTTGCGTAACATTGATGCGTTAATAAAAAAACATAACGTTTTGATAATCTCAAGATCTAGACTTCTTAACCAATTTAAGAAATAAAATGTATCCAAATATGGTATTTGTTCCAACTTCGAAAGCCAAGTTGCAAAAAAAGCAAAGTTGCAAATATAATAGGGTAGACGACTAATTTTTATTTTAATGTCTGTCTGGTAGATTATGTAAAAACATTAGACACGTATTTTTTATTTTCTTACGGAAACGAATAGTTTCGAAGATATATTGAATTGAAATGTCGCTTGACGTCACTTCTCAGTACATTAATTTATACCAAGAAATGACGTTTTAGCCCCACTCCTAAAGTTTGATTCGTTTTATCTATGACTGTATTGTTTTATTATACGACAAAATAAAAAAATACGTGTCTAGTATTTTTTAATTACCTAACTTACGGACTAATTATATTTTTAATTTTCATACCCTGTCATCATCCCCATTCTGAACTTTTAAAAAATCTAGAATTTAGTTTATTTTTCAATCGTTGTTATGTAACAATGATATCAAAGTCAATATAACTCGTAATGCAACATATAACATCTTATCATGATGCATAAGATGATCATGACACTACGACATGTCGATGGGTGCACCCTGCACACACAACGTAAATCAATAGCTTTACTACACCATAATGTTTTTATATAAAACGGAGTGTTTAACATTACATTTGCTAGTTTCGTAATGCGTACGTGAGCGTCAGACATAAAACAGCTTGTGTAAGCAGAACAGATTCCTGGTACGTGTTGCCATTTAAAAAAACCGAATCAAAATGTAAACGAGACCGTGGCAACAGCTTTCCTTCCTATTGTTTTTTAATTCAACATGGAGGTTGGTTTAATTTTCTAATTGATGCTGATAATCAATTTTACAGTTGTACATTATTAGATAACCGTTAAGAAACGTTGCAAATTGACAGAGTGCTTTTTATAAGGGAGGAGGAGCTTTTGTTTATCTATTTTTGTTCTGGTAAACAAGGCTAATTGGATTATTTTATCAACTACGGTCATCTTTAAATTACTTTCGGATGTCAAGAGTTACAATAACCTTAATATTTAACTTTATTTGCGTCTGGTACAATTCACTTTTGAAAAACATTGTTGTGTAGCTAATTACTGTTTGTAATTATTACTAGTTACAACACCTTCAAGTGAGAGTAGGTAGGGCTAGGTACGCAGTGCTCGCGCCGTCACGGTGGCCACCTCGTCCACTCACGCGCACTTCTATTGTTTACGGTCAACACGCATGCGCTGAATGCGCTCATTTGCATCCAATGCTGCCACTTCCTGCCGATGTGAAGGAAATGCGTTAATAGGAAAAATAGGAAAGAAATGCTTTGTAGCGGTTTTCGCTTAACAGTTCAATGAAGAACAGCTAGGTTGAAATGATGTTCTATTGTGTTCAGACTGTTTGCCTGTGAAGGCTGATATTGTACTGCGTTATCTGCCTCAATGCGTGGTTAAACCGCTTATTATTTTTACTCTCATTTCGTGCAACATGCATACGAAGACGCTGGTCTTTCGTGTCGTATAGATGTCACAATATTCATATTTGTCACCTACTGACATTCAAAAAGAACATAGGCCGCATTTCATTTTTCTAAATAAGCTAATTACATAATCGTTGCACCACAAAAATATCAAAATTCACATTAACCCACAATATTTAAAGTTAGCTAAGCTAACATTATTTTGTTGCATCTCGTATATTTTAATACGAATTATTCATGTTATGTATTTTCGAAACACCGATATTTACGTTCATGCAATAGAAATCGCGTTATCAATTAGCTGAGTCATTTTTACCAAATTACGTACGAACTTTGCGGACGAAGAAAAAAGTCTCATTCATAGAGAAATCTCCAGTGTTGTCATGCAGTCAATTACTAAACCGCTTAATTAACATTCGTATTATGTACTTATCTCATATTGAATACTTTTTCCTCTACGAATCATTTTCGTAAACGTCCTATGATTAAATCTTCTCCGAATCAAATCAAATGCCTTTTTAAAATTGTATTCGTTATAATTTGTGTTGCCACAACCAAAATTGTTTAGAAAACCATTTACCTATTGAATAGGCGGATAATCATTTTGACCGTCTTTTTTGAAGCTCATAAAACAATCATTGGGGTTGGTGTGTCTATTTTTTTATAGTCATAGATCACGTAACGCGTTAATCTTACTGCTAACTATTCTTGTTATATGACCAATTTAATTGATGTTGCTTAAGTTAATTTTATATCAATATTTATAACTTTTTTTAATTAGTTAGTCTAGTCATTGGACATTATTTATACAAATTTTTATATTTATAAGCAATTTATATTTTTTATTGTCTCGTAAAGTATGAGAAGATTCGTGTTGAATAAGAAACATCTGCTTTACGAGGTTCTTGTCATAATCACCAGATGCACATAAACACATAGAAGTATATTCGGTTTTCTTTACTATCCCATTTTGCGGGAAATAGCGGGCATTTTGTTATAGCATCCTATTTTAATCTACTGTTTAAAATTAACTTATTTTTCTTTACCTACAGGCTAGAAATCCTGAAAGCGGATTCTTCCCTCAAGAGCAAAGCGAAACGCAACGAATGGACATGGAAGGCACAGACGGACGTGGTGAAATGGCAAGCAACGCCACTGCGCGCACCTCTACTGCGCCTCCCGGCTGCACTGGCGCCACCTGCGCTCGAGTGCTTCACATGTGTCCGCGCATACTGCGGCGACCTGCAGCCCAATGAGAGGCAGATGCACCAGGACTTGACTGAAGTGAAATGTGTTTACACTGTGCTGATGGTGAGAGTCTTAATGCTTTAATTAAATATATTCATCCAAATATTATCTATTCATAGAATCCACTTAGAATGAGAAAAATCATTACCTACATTTTTTCTGGCCTAGTCTAGAATTTATAGCTATGATTACATTAAGTCAATAAATCATGTAACATCAGGTCTTACTACATCGTACACTTAGCTATGAGCGCATCATTCCTTAAATTGGACATGCTTAACTTTTGAATGTGCATTTTATCTTTTTTTGCTATCCTAATCATCTTCGTTAATTCTAATTGTTATTTACAGCACTGCCACTCAGTACCAGAACTCCGTGACGAGGTGTACTGTCAGTTGATGAAACAGACAACTTCCAACCGATCACCATCAGGAGACTCTTGTCAACGAGCCTGGAGACTCATGTCCATACTAGCAGCATATTTCACTTGCTCTGACACACTAAGGTATGAGTCATTTTGGTTTTAACAAAAGCTTTCGTGAATTTACATGATGATTTGATAGGAGTATAATTGTTTCCAACTTTAAGTAATATATATTTCTCTTAGAAAAGTAAATGTTATTTGCCGTGTTCATTTACAAAGGAACTAAAATACATGTAAGTGAACATTATCTATTCGCGGAATTTACATACTACGACATCTTCTGACAACTGTTCATTAATTAAATATGCAATGTTTTGCAGGCCGTTCTTGGTAGAATACCTGTCGGCCGCAGCAGCAGACCGGAGGCGACCGTGCCAAGGTACGGCTGCCGTATGTCTCGCCAACTTGCGCAAGACGCTGCGCTGTGGCGGCAGGAAGAATGTACCCAGTGTTGAGGAGGTAAGTCTAATATACCTGTCGCGGAGAACCTAACGGGTAACCGGGGCTCCGGCTCGACGTGCAGGAGAAGGAACGGGGTGGTTTTTAGTCAGTAAGAGTCTGACGCTCCCTCCCGCCTCACCCAGGCGGGAGCAGTCATTCGATGATTTTCCCCCCTTAAAAAAAAAGAAAAACAGTCTAATATACCTATTTTGAAGTTTAATTATTTTTTTTTTAATTTTCCATTTTAACCTGAGCCTTGGTGAAAAATATGCAAATATTGAATTGATGTAATAATGTTATGAGTGGGTGCAGTTTTTTCTTTTATTATAATTGAGCATATAACATATGTGTCTAGAAGTATACATGTGCTATATTTGAGTAATAAAACTCCTGTATATATATTGAATTGCAATATGTGTTTTAAAAATTTTATTTGTATTTTATAGGTGACAGCAGTATCGGCGGGTCGTTCCGCACGTCGTCAGTTGTACCGACTGCCGGGCGGAGCTGAGAGAGTTGTCAACACGCGCTGCGCTACTGTCGTGCAGGACATCGTCAACGAGCTCTGTGAACTGGTCAGTTTCTGCTCATCTGTATTATTATTTTTTATTGAATAGTGACTGCCTCGTTGGCCGAGTGGTCGCAAGTGCAACTGCCGGGCAAGAGGTCTCGGGTTTAAGACTTTGGCTGCCAATACAAAACTGTTGAAGGTAAATCCTCCGCTAACACCGGTCACCGGTGACCCCCATGGTGTTTAACGTGTTAATTTCCGGGTCGGGCAAAGTATTACTGGGTTTTTTCAAAAATCTCAGCTCGGAGTCTGGAAATGTGCCCGGTATATGGCTCACCCCCTATTACATGGGACTCATAACATAAAATAGTGAAAAGTAGGTGTTACATTGTACAGTGGCATTAAGTGCCGTAATGTGCACCTCTGCCTACCCCTTTTGGAGATAAAAGGCGTGAAGTTTGGGGATGGATAATTAATTGGGATTTCTTTAAAGGAAATAGGGATTTTAATCAAAGAAAACACAATTACATGATTTCATTTTATTATTATACCTACCTATTGTTTCTACAGTTTTATTGAACCAGCTTTAAGTATCCAATCCAATTTATATCGTCATAAATCAAATTCTTACACACCATAAACATTGTAGCAAGTTTTTCATTAAGTTGTTGTGTACTTAGATCGGAGTGACGAGCGAGGCCGAGCGCGCGGAGTTCTCCCTGTACTGCATCGTGGCGGGCGACGCGCTGACGATGCCGCTGGCGGGCGACGAGTACGTGCTCGACGTCACCACCGAGCTGCAGCGCGCGCACCACCCCTTCTACCTCATCTTCTGCCGCTCCGTCTGGCACCATCCGCTCAGGAATGATGCTCCGCCGCTCTATACTGAAGTACTCTTCAATCAGGTATGTAGTGTCCACTTACTCTCACATTTTATTAATCTGTCTAGTTGAGTATTCAACTTCTTGTGATTAGAACAACATATAGGAATATGTAGGCACTTAATTATTTTCGTCCTACTTTATGTATACGGCCGTAATATGAACGAACTTAATTAATTAATTATCATGGATATAAACACCAAATGAATTAAGACAAGTATTATTTCAGTGTACTCCACACCACGCTACCTCACTTGTTAGTGACGTGTCACTTTTGAATAGTAGAAAAATATGCATAAGACATGTTTCTAGAAAATTCTTTCCTATTTTAGGTGGCTCCAGACTACCTAGAAGGTCTGCTACTGGTGTTACCGGGTGGCGGAGTCCCACCTGCACCAGTGTTACGTGACGTGGCTCTAGTAGCTGCACTACTACACCGTGCAGCAGGCCTGGCTGAGGGGGCGCAGGCCCGCGACCTCAAGTTCTTGCTACCGAAGCCCCTGCTAGCGCTCCGGGAGCCCCGCCCCAACAAGTGGGCCTCGTGGCTCGGAGCTGAGTGGCAACATGTCAGGACACTGTCCCCTGCTGCCGCAAAGGCCAAAGTATTACAGGTACGTTGAAGCATCGGTTTTTTTAGCATATTTCTGAAAATATTAATTTAATTTTTGCACTACTTTTGTGCAGAGAGTAACAAATAAGTCGATAAATCAATTGATGGTAAACAATTGGTGCTACCCATGGGTATCCACAATACCAGAGGAGTTACAAATCGGTATCGCACTTGTAATTCCTTGGTGTTGCAGGGGTATACGTCTATTTGTTTACAACGCTATCCCATGGAAATTGAAGAAAGAATTGTTAAGCCGCTTTTTTATAAAAACTTCGGTGTATAACTAACCTCAATATGTTGCAGGTATTGTCCCGCTGGCCGCTGTTCGGGTCGTCATTCTTCGCAGTGCGGCGCGTGTCGGGCGGCGGCGGCGCGGACTGGCGCGAGCACGTGCTGGCGCTCAACCGGCGCGGCGTGCATCTACTGCACCCACACACGCACGAGACTGACACGCACTGGCCATACGCAGAGCTCATCAGCACCAGGAAGGTACGCACGCACACCATATCGATATCCTACCATTGTTGTGTACCAGTCAACTCGTTTGTGAAAGGTAGGTGTTGCCTATACCACTCGGGGGATACGGAGGAGCAAACGATGGCGGCATGCCCTGCATGGTCTGAGTATCCCCGTGTCTTCAGAGACGTGATCGGCGACGGCGACCTCTCACGTTTGACTCTGGTTCAGGCCATGGTACGGAGCGAGGGGACTGGAATGCCACCTCCTCAAAAAACTATGTCAAATTCCTCTTATGACTTAGGGCACGGGCAGTTTTTATGAACGTACCTTTAATACAAACATTTTATCCTCGATTAACTAACGTTATTCCCCGCAGGTCCGGTCGGAGGACGGCACCCTGTTCCTGGACGTGAAGTGTGGGTCCCTGCTGCAGCAGCGCGTGACGCGGCTGCAGGCGGAGCAGGCGCACGAGGTGGCGCGCCTCGTGCGGCAGTACATCGCGCTGCAGCGGGACCAGCGGCACTCGCCAGGTACACCCAGCCACTCTACTGCACAACTCACTTACGGACCTTAGTGCTTCTAAAACTAAATCCGAAACTTGGTATATAGACTAGCAGGCCAACCTACTTCCTTCCTGACACACACAAAACAACACATTTTGTTTTGATATACTTAAAGTCGAAAATCCAATAAAAAATAAGTTTGTAGTAGAATGACCTGCTTGCGTTCAGCCAGTCAAAATTTTAAGTTAGGATAACAAAAATTGATTTAGATACAGAGGCTTTAATACGAAGTTGTTTTTCTTTTAAAGTAATCGAAACGAGTATGCGTTCGGCACTCTCATTGGCCGCCTCAAAAAAACCAACCAATCAGAGCGCCGAATAAGGTCTCGTTTCGATTACTTTTAACGTAGAACAGACTCGTATTAGGGCCTCAGACCAAAGAAAGTAACCACTGGAAAGTAACCACTGGAAAGTAACCACTGGAAAGCTATAGAGCCGACCAATTGTTTGTCTGTCTCTGTGCCGAGTTAAACTTTACTTTCTTAACTGCATACCAGTATTAATCTGGATAATTATACAATTACACATGTAATAAATAAATAATTCAGTGTAGGTAAGTATAATAATATAATGAGCTAACAGACCTAATTAAATTTCTCCCATTCAAGGTCGTACCTTTCGTGCTAAATACGAATTTAGCATAAAATACAATTTTTAATGTGTGACCGCACCTATGCAAACCGACTACTAGCGTGCGTATGTCACGTCCGTCTAATTACTACATCTAACTCATCACAGACTTGCTAACATTTATTTAATTTATCATGACATATCCTCAATTCTATACAGGACGACAATATCACCTTGTAGATTATTAAACGTATATTAAAGGATTTATTATACACACCCATTAACCTCGTTACACAAATTTTACACAAAACGAGCAGACCGATCACCTGATGGTAAGCAATCGGCGCCGCCCATCTACACCCGAAACACCAGAGGTGTTACGAGTGCGTTACCAGCGTTTTGGGAATTAGAAATTTGAGAATTATTAGGGATTCTGAGATTGGAGAGATTGAGGAGGGGGGTAATTGGGCCTCCAGAAACCTCAGTCATACGACGAAACACCAGCGTTGTTTCACGTCGGTTTTCTGTGAGGCCGTGGTATCACTCCGGTCGAACCGAAGCATGGCTCTTCCACATTTAGACAATATATTTTTCTCTTGTTTCAGCTTTCAACAATTGAAAAGCGAATCCAAACGAGTCGGTTACAGAGACTGGAATGAGTGCAGTGTAATCAGTGTGTACTGTGTAATATAACCGTCATGTACCGTCATATATACGTCATAGTTCACGTACTTACCTCAACGCTGTCGTATCGTATCCGTCCACACTAGCTCACCTAGTTAAGCACATTCCGATTGAAATGATAATAGGATTTTAGGGCACAAATTGTACTGCGCCATTGCGCAACGTAGTCGTTAATATACTTCTATTTTCATTTTAGTCATCATTCGTCCAATAAGTATTTATATAAGGGCAATTATGTTAAGCAAACCAATTAATATCTACATTCCAATACTTTTAAGAACCAAAAAGTATGAAATTTTATATTGTATGAACATAGTTAGTACTTGTATAATTTTTTAACAATAAACACCACAATGCAATTATGTCAAGTACACTCGACACTCATATAATATTTATAAATTGTTATTGTCAATAAACCACTCTTTATGTATTTGTTTTTCCCACCAAAATAGAAACAGATTAAATATATTTTTTAGAAACCATGATTCCATAGACAAAATCATTTATGCTCAAAATATAATATGAATTAGGTAGATACATAAATCCCAAATATTATCGTAAAAATAGTTATGTAATGTAGAACTTTACAGGTATAACATAAAACTGCTTCATAAATATCTTTTTATAAGATAGATAAAATATAAATATTTGAAAATCCTGTGAAGTTCTACAGTCAACATGTTAGAACATTGCTCAAACTTGACAACTTTAGGACCTTGGAAATTAGTTTTGATAAGATGGCAGAATATTAGGGGCGGCACGGAAATATCGCCGCACCTACATTGCGACTAGCGAGGGTTGACACACCGGTCAATGCCGAACACATCAACGTATCTCACGAACTATTAGACCTAGTTGTCAAGATATCATTGTAGTACATATTTTAATTATGTAATTAGAATAGTATGTAGATAATCCCTATTTTTGTTATTCATGGAATTCGTATTATGATATTTATAGTATCGGTATTTCCAGAAATATATTATTTAAAAATCGAGGTACCTACTCCAATTTATAATCTGTAATCATTCCTATGTGCCTTACATAAATGTTTCTCAAATTCTAACAGAAGGTGCTATTTTACCTTAAATATAATGTACTAATATAAAATTTAATTATTTTGTAATGTCTAATATGAAATTATCCAAAGACCGAGAGGTCGGAGTCATGTTTAATGTATTTACTTATATATTTCGTTGTAATATAAAATATTTAATGAATCTGATGTACGAGAATATATTGTAGATAATAAAAGTTATATTTTCATTTGTTGTTTCAATCCTCATCCGCACGAAAAGTCTATACACGATCCATCCGTCCAGTCTGCTCACTGTCCACAGATTACTAAGTATACCTATACACATACTTGTCAGCTCACTGTCTAACCACATCTACAAGCCACCACTAGGACACTATTTGACCTTGGGTCTTAGGACCAAAAATTACTTGATACTAAAAAAAAAAATGATACGGAATATTTACCGAGTTTAAGAGTAGGACAACATTACTACGTTATTCAATAATATGGTACAGAAAGACATTAAAATTAACTACTCTAATGACCAGTAATAACAAGGAACTACAAAGCTCAGTTTCTTGTTTTTTGTGTTTTACGAGTAAGTAATGGCTTCAAAAAACCTGCGAAAATTAATTGCAAGCTTCAATTGTATCCGGATTTAGTAATTATTGTAGACAGAGATCGTATCAACGCTCCGCTCACATCATTTTATTACAGCTGTGAGACGGTTCTTTCTTGTATCTACTTGTAAATGTTTCCCTTAGATAAATGTCCTCCTTTATTCTTCGTCATCATCTTAAACATACTATAAGAGGCCACTGCTGACTAAAGGCCTCTTCTCACACGGAGAAGGTTTACGCATTAATCACCACGCGTGCTCAATGTGGGTTGCTGATTTCAAACTTTAGAAATTATAAACCTAGGTTTCTTCACGATGTTTTCCTTCACCGTTTGTCAGTGATGTCTAAATAATCTTAGAAAGTACATATAACTCTGAAAAAGTTACTTTGATACTTTGCCGTTGGTAGGTTTCGAACCCTCGTGCATGAGAAGCGGGAGTCTTGAACCCCCGAGCCACCATGACGACTAAGTCTTATCACTTTTAATGGATCAATATATTTTATTTTTACTTGACGGCCTCGATAGTCACTTGGTTACAAGAGTAAAGGTCTCGAGTTCACTCACTGCCGATTTCAATAACTAATCGCAAACCGAACTCAGTTCTGGAATACCTATATCAGTGTATACCTTAATATACACTGAGAAATAATCTTTATTATTTAATAGATCGATTTTTGAAATTACTATGACATTATAAGTATCTACTTCTAGGCATAGAGTTTCTGTCAAAAATTAATATCGATACAGAGATTGATGATTGAGATGATTGAGATGATGCAGAGACGGTAACTGCAACCGAGGCAGTTAGAAGAAACGGAATCAGTTAGAAGAAACGGAATCAGTAAGAAGAAACGGAATCAGTTAGAAGACACGGAATCAGAAGAAACTGAATCAGTTAGAAGCACCCTTTACCTAATAACTATTACTGAGCCGCGGAGAACTTAACGGGTTATCGGGACTCCAGCTCGAAGCGCAGGAGAAGGAACGGGGTGGTTTTTAGTCAGTAAGAGTCTGACACTCCTTCCTGCCTCACCCGGGCGGGAGAAGTAATTCGATGATTTTACCCCTTTTAAAAAAACCTAATAACTATTATCAATTATGGAAATCCATACATGTGCAACAGGTATGAACTATTTGTTCCATATGTAGTTACACAAATTAAAACATTTAACCTAAATATTGCGAGCTGAATGTGAGAGTCAATTGAGGGGAAAGGTTAACTAATGGCGCGTGTAGGTCGCCAACCTATCGCACGCTGCAATCGCAATATCAATTTATAGGTACCTTATTATAGGCACTTGTGTTTGAAGGCGTAATTTATGGGTTTGTTTGTCTGTAGAAAGTCGATGACATAATTTATTGTGAATTGTTACACCTTAGATTTGTATGAACTTACGTTGTATTTATCTATAGGTTAGCCTAGCAACCTATTATTGGAAGCAATATAAGCTCACACATAGGACCCACTTAGTTTTTAGTCAAGTTTCTGTGGTGCTTGGCGACTAGGCTTCACCCAGTTGTACAGTCTCTTTTTTTGTGCCTTCAGGCTTAATTCATTCTGTCTCCTGCAGCAATTCACCAAGGGAAGTGGAAACTATCTCTATAATACTATTTATAATATTCTTCTCCTCTTATAATATATTTAGGTTCACTTCGTTGCGGGAACCAAGACAGTTATTCATGTGCCTGGGACGCGCGCGCCGGACTTCTGTGTTCCGGTGCTTTCATGATTGTATCTACTGTAGATCCTGGCTTACAGGAGTTGCAGCGGTTTTGGGAGGTTGTGGCGGGCTTGTCCCATTTAAATATAGGTACCTAGCAAGTCTAAGCACTGTCTTATTTATACAACAGGCAGACTGCTTGTCCACAGTTTATGCAACGTAAAGCACTTCAAGAAAACATGAAGAAAATTCGAATTCAAAATGAAGAAAGCACAAAAAGTATGAAAGAATACTGATATCAAATTTAATAAGGTACTACCTATCTACTAAGCCTCATTTATCATCATATTGTCAGTAAACAACTCGCACACAAGTTTTTAACCACAGACTTAAATTATGTTGACGCAAATAGTAATACACAAATTAACAGCTCTAGGTCGGCAACGCGATACAATGAACTTCCTAATTCACAGCACTTTGTACTAAAACAGTACAATCATACATATAGGTACATAGGTGATATTATCACATAAGAGCCAGTAGGTACCTTCGGGCACAGTTTTGAGATTTATGGTCATCATTCGGGGTCGCATGGTAATCAGCAGGCAGCAGCCTTGACGTCCGAGACGCATACAAAGGACACTTTTTACCGACGACGGAACGCGTGGGAACCTGCGCCGGCGCAACCTTCGTCTATTGTCGTCAGCGATGCTACTGGCTAGCAGTAAAGAAAGCTCTAGTAGTTAGTACTAAAGAATAGTATATGGCTGATTTGGTGTGTGTGTGTGTGTGTGTGTGGATTTATAAAATCCTTGATGTTTTATGAAGTTTATTATGGAATGGAACAAGAAATTTCGAATTCTAAGATTAAATTGAGCAAGTACTTATGTGTATGTGCCCAGTGCCAGTAAAATAAACACCTATAAAGCCTTTAACTGCTGATTAAAACTGTTAAAGGCCAATCCTCCGCTAGCGTCGGACATCATTGTCCGACACGACATCCAATGTGTTAACGCTAAATTATCGTTTAATATTGCAACCTACTGAACCAAATTAAAATATAAAAATATTAAAGCAATTTAAATTCATAATCAAATCCAAGTAATTTGATCTTGCTGTGAAAGTTCTAAAGGTGCGCGCGTGTGTTACTGATATTACAGTGTGAAGATGTACATTATTTGTGACACAAGCGCGAGTGACGGGCAACCTAACTCCTCGCCTCATGAAATGTGATTTATAACCAACGCAAACTTGAGCATCTACATATAAAGCCTCTGATTATACCTACATAGGTGCACAGTTTTGACCATAAAGAAGGTTTTGACAGTGCCTGGCCACTAGGTGGTGAAAGGCGTGTGGCGGTTTCGATTCCCGAACGGAGCAACTGCGTGATCCACAAATTATTGTTTTGGATCTGCGTATCATGTTTGTGTGACATGCTTATATTTTTTTTCTACGGTAAAAAATGTCTACCAGAAAAAAGTTCGTACGACAAAATCAGACAGGGTCAGAAAAAATTCACTAGCGCACATCACAACTAAACTGGGGGACTAGGGGGTTTTTCGGTATAGCGCATTCTGTCTGAACATGGGGTGGCGTCCATCTTTGTATCTGACTATGATCTGACTCATAAAATCCACAAGTAATGATTTAACCCTTTGATTACCGTCATTATAGACACAATTAAAGTACAATAGGTTGCGGTCACCGGTGTCCTTGCGGTGTTTTACAGCTTAAAGTTGATACTGTTAAGTCATCTAACACCATGTTCTAACCCCTTAATCATAATTAGCATCAATTTTAATATTTCATGCGCACACGGCATTTAATTTTAATAAACTTTATCGACGACCCGTACCGAGGCCAAGCTCGTGAGAAATAACCATTGTCGGTATAAATTGTAACTACAATAATATTTAATTTGCATTTTATTATCGTTAAGTATCGTGAATCATTCGGCTGCAAACAGTGACATAAACAAAAACAACATTTTGTAATAATGTAACTGCTATTTTTATTCACAAAAGTTCTCATAATCTGTGGTACCTATTTACTAGCTGTCTGAAAAACGCGGGGAAATTCGATGAAGTCATTTTTTAAGACATTGACACTGCCTACGCATTTTACCAAAACTTGTCACAGTGTGGTAAACTTATTCAAATCTTTGTTTAAATATTTGTTTACCACTAGCTGCTTTTGAACAAAGCCTAATTAATTCGACAATGAGAATAATACACATAGCGAAACTACCGACAGAAGCGTAACATGAAATGGCAGCTCTTCTAATTTGAAACCTTCATCATAAATGTTGAAATTACAATAACCTTTGTTAATTTTATGCCATTTCAGAGTACAAAAAATATATCAGTCTGACCTCTCGTCCGTTTCAGTTACGGTTTTTCCTGTGCATGCTTATTACGTAGGTTTTTAACACAGGTATTATGTTATAATTCAGTAAACGAATGTAATGGTAACTGGTAAGCGTCTGTAGATTATCGCAACTCTGTCCTGTCACAACTGCTGGACAATGAACCGTCCCGCAGTAATTAGTCTTAAATACGTAACCATTTAAAATTTTGGAGTTCCTTTATGATCTCTGTAATTTGTATACGTTGTCCGATAAGTACTTACTTGCTAAACAAGTTTTAGTAGGTACCTATAGGTACTAAAACGACACCCAATTCAGGTGAATTTTAAATGTAAGTAGAAGTAGGTACTAAGTAACCTACTTAGTATTTGTAACCTACCTGGGTTACAAATAACTTTTATAATAAAGGTTTTTTTAACGGGGGAAAATCGTCGAATGAGTTCTTGAGGGAGTATCTCAGACTCTTACTGACTAAAACCACCCCGTTCCTACTCCTTCTCTTCGAGCCGGAGCCCCGGTCATCCGTCGCAAGTCCTCCGCGGCAATAGAGAAGGATAAGCATTGCCCCTTACTCATTTTGTATGCATTCTAGCCCATCTGGTTCATAGCCTAGGTAGAGGTTTTGAAAGTAATATAACTTTATTTAAATAAAGCAGAACATAAAACTTTATCATTATTTTCAATTGGCATATTCGGTTGTGCGTGTCAAGTAATTTCAAAATATAGGTCATTTAGATTCGAAACAAATAGTATGTGGCTATTTAGCTATGTAAGTATGTAGTACCAATATGTTAGAATTTCAAGAAATAAGCGTCTGTTCAGAATGTTTTAAGTTGTTGTAAGAAGTACATCGATAGAAGTACACACATGAAAAGTATTTGAATAAATCTCCCCCATACTTCGGTTTAATTAAGTTTAAAGTTTTTATTTGACATTTTCTTTATAGGAAATTACTTGTACCTACTCTAATACAGAAATATAAACACAATAGGTACAACTTATACTTACTACACAATATATGAATTTAAAAAACCATCCACGTACTGCCGTAGCCTACATTTCTCTACAAAATCTATTCATGAAGCAACATTTTGATGAAAGAAGCAAAAGGACCCTGATTTCGTCCGTATACTAAAACTTAAATAAACAACAACAAACCTTGCTAAACAATTAGCTGCATACGAAAGCCGTACTTCCACTTCCTTCGCAGAACGTTGCAGGCACCTCACAGCTGGTCTTGGCATTCGCTAACTTTACTAATTTCATTGCAACATGGACCATCGGCCCTCTACTCAATGAACCATGCATTCGGCGCGTAAGGTCCCTCTTATTAACGCGAACTTTGAAAGACAAGCATTCATTTAAAGCAAGTGATGCGTTACGAAATCAGTTCATGGAAGGTGTAATCACAAGGTTTTATCAAAAAAAGTGTCTATCAGAAATGAATGCGTCATGTAGTATAAACTGGACATTTTATACTGTATTCTAGTAAGTATTTAATTAAAGAATTTGAACGTAATAGGACGTGATGAAAAAACCTGCGTAGTATATTTCATAGCTCAATTTTACTACCTGTATTAATATAGACTGTATATTACAAAAACTTCATAGGTTCGTAGCAGGCAAGTCATCATAACATAACATGACATCACGCCTTTTATCCCCGAAGGGGTAGGCAGAGGAGCACATTATGCCACTGTACAATTATGTTATGACTCCCATGTAATAGGGGGTGAGCCTATTGCCATTTGCCATATACCGGGCATGATTCTCCGTGCTACTACTGATTTTTTTTAAACTCAGTAATATTTTGCCCCAATCGGGAATCGAACCCGAGACCCCTTGCCTGGCAGTCGCAATTGCGACCACTCGGCCAACGAAGCAGTCGACATGATCGAGTCATCATAATTAAGTCCTAATTATAGATGCCATTCTAAGCTCCATCATCTTTGTTGCAAAGCATTAGAGCATAGAACTGATAAATCAGTTGGTCCGCATGATTAAACATTGATTTCTATTCAGTATAAGTATATAATGAACTTAGTACTACACATTACTTGTTCCGTATTGACATCATGCCAACTCTAGATATTTCCGCATGAAAATATATGGATCTTAGATTTTATTTTATGTATATGTATGCAAACAGGTGGATCAATATTATTGCCGCGTTATCCGACACGTACGTGTTTGTTTACAAAACATGGTTTGATTTCAGTACACCTTAGCAACCTCCAATCATTATTGTGACCTAATTGTTGGTTGATAAAGTCAACTGAGTACTAACTTTTTAATTAAAAATTGTAACAACATTTGTTAAGTTTACATCGAGTAGTACATAGCGGAAACGTTCCAAGTTTATATGCAACTAGCGACACGCCCCGGCTTCGCACGGGTGCAATATGCATACATGTATTATACATATAAACCTTCCTTAAGTATCACTCTATCTAATAGAAAACCACATCAAAATCCGTTGCATAGTTTTAAAGATCTAAGCATACATAGGGACAGACTGACGGCGGCTAGCGACTTTGTTTTATACTATGTAGTGATGAACTAAGTAATTTATCATTACATTTTCAAGCAATCTAACGTCTTGAATTTGAGTAATTCTCGAGTCATATGAGGTACTGGACGTTAATCTGTCAAACACCAAGCGGTCACCGGTGACCGCGACCTATTGTTCTTTAATTGTGTCTATAAAACCGGTACTCGACGAGTTAATTCCAAAGTTTTTAAATGTAAAGAATATAAAACTTCAAAAAAATGTTTTATTGGGACCTTGAGATCTGAGACCCAGCAGGTCTCACAGATCGGGTGTTTTTGGCAATTAACAGAAGACTCGCTAACTACTCGTATACGTACGTACTGCCTATGTATATGTGATATTATAACTCATAGATGACAGTTATGAATGTTATGTTTTTCCTTCAGAAGCAAACACAGGTAACTATTAACTACATGACGTAATTAGAGTCCACGGAAATTAATGTGTGTGGCACTTAAATGTATGCAGTAAACTATGTATGTGTTTTATGTATGTGTCACAGGATCATTATTTTAAAATTAACTTTAATCTTCCACTTATTTGTTGGAGCAACGAACTTCCTATAAGTCAATAGCTACCATGAAATTACGTCTTTACCTTGGTATGTCATTAATTCTTTTGTTTTCAAACAACTTAGCAATTTTGATGTGAGAAAACGCAAATGTAATTGAATTAGGGGGCAGTATAATTAAAATACATGGGAGTTGTTCGTTATTATGACGAAATATATGCAAAAAATTTATTAGTATTCTTATTCACTTAATTATAAAATAAATGTCTTACATACACCCGCACTAAAGGTGGTTTAAAAGTTCGTCAGTCATTGTTCATCGCGGCGCTATGTACAGGACATGACGATGAATTTGTTCTGCCGTCGCCCGACATGGCATTCAAGATTATCACGCGTCGTTGTATAAATAACTTATTCACTACTTGGTCGGACTGTGTCTCGGTGTCCGTAAATCTCTGGTCTTGTCCGGCCACCTGCCGGCAGTGTACTGCACGTATCCGGGGTCCGTGGGGGTACCGGACGCTCTGCCTTCCGTGTCTGTGGTTTCTTTCTCTTCAATTGGCTCCATGGGAAATAGAGCTGGCGTATCCGCCCTCTTCGACCTTGTCGACCCTCGCAAGTAGTCTTCGAGTTGTTGCAAAGTCGGTGACGGTACTGTCTTGGCCCTAGTCGGGGATTTAGACCGCTTTTGTTCGTAACTTGGAGACATTTCGTCGTACAAGTCTTTTAATCGTCCAGTCTTTACTTTGGCGAACACAGGCGTCTGCGGCTCAGGCAAGTAGTCCTCTCTCACTGAGAGCTTACCTGCAAAGTTATCGAGGTAGTCTCTGAGGTACTTTTCATTGAATTTGGCTAATTCTTGCTCGTAGTGGAATTTATCAGGTATAGACAAAGGTTCATTCAGTCGCACATAATTCCCAGCTTCTAAGCCGTTGCGTATCGATCCAAATTTAGATTTTTGTAGCTCATCTTTCTCTAAAGTATCCTCGAAATTAGGGTAGCTCGTTTTCGACTGTGCGAATAGTGTCATTTCTTCTTTCTTTGTATCCTTGTCAGGCAAATTCTTCTCTAAATCCAAATCTTTTAGTCTTTCGGGGGGAACATGTCCGTTAGCATGCCCGTTAGGTTGTCCATTTGTTTTGCCGTTGGCTAAATCAGTTTTTGGCATATTTCCATTTAAGTTAGGTGATGAGATAATGGACACTTTCTTTTCGCTTTTGGGCGAAGACACGATGCCAGTGTCTGTTTGTGAGTTCTGCGTAGTGGTGTATATCCGAGGGCCCATGAGGTCTATGAAGAACAAGGCGGCGACGACAAGCGAGAAACTGCCAAGGACTGAAGCATTCACTACCAACGATCTCGGCACGGAGTCAAGGGATGCTAGTTCTAGTCCACCTGTGAATAATAAACTTCATTAAAACATGACCATTCATCCCAGTCTAAGTGGTTATCTAAACGATTTTAGCTCTTGTGTCAATAGTATTAAACCACAAAATAATGTGCCAGATGCAATGACCTTAATTTATCGTTGTGTGTCATGTAACTCTCGTAATAGTACACTTTCGACATTAATTTAATAAATCGATTGTAAACGAAAGCTTTAAACTCGTTGAGCGTTTAATTACATATTTTGTAATAGTTCGGTTCGCATGCTTGAAGACGATTTAATAGACTCCAGAGCTAGAGCAATGAATTGGTTGAACTCATTAACAACATCGATATTCGTTTGTGACTATAATGTTACAACTTCTCATTTTATAATAGATATACATGTGTTACTTCTATGTGTGTATGAGATTTCGACTCGTACATTAGGTTCCGATTTAGATAAAGTATTATTCAAATTGTTAATAAAAGATTTTCAATAATTCTATAAAATTCAAGTGTACGATTTCTCCTGGTATCGCGTCGTATCATCTTTCCGCACATTTAACGTTCAGTTTATACTGGTTATCTTAAACTCGATGTGTAGCCGTCTGTACTCATCATTGAAAATAACTTACCAAGGATCAAGAAGAACAGCATGCCGAAGCCGAGGAAGTATCCCTCAAGTATCCGCCTCCCTCTCGGTATCTCCTGGAAGACGCGCGCGACTATCAGCCCGAATGTGATGATCACGTAGCCTGATGAATAACAAACATAATTTTAGCCACTATAAATAATTATTCAAGATTTGTATTAATATGCACATGAGTCAGATTTCATCTCCTAAATCAGGGAATAGAAAACCCCTTTCCTAACCCGGCTCTTCGAGCCGGAGCTCCGGCAACCCGTTAGGCCTTCCGCGGCTCCGTGTCAGGCATCAGCTCTACTGCGGTGGTCTGATGGCTCTTTGAGACGGGACATGTCGTACGCACGGGCTGGATTCTGGTCGGGCTGCAGGCAACCTTGCTCGCCATCCGCAAACCCGCACTTGGAACTCCGGTTGCCGGAGGTCGTTGCGCGATATTGCGAGGCCTGCACTTAACTTGTTATAAGTTCGAGTTACATTACAAGTCATCCTATTTCCAAAATAGACTCGCATTATACAATGTATTTAACTTGCACTTCTTTCCAGGCACGTTATGCGTACCATGCAATAGGTGGCGAGACTATTATCATTGAATAGCAAGGTATACCACTGATCAATCTCCAAGCGGTCACCGGTAACTGCTATCACTAACTACCTTACATTATAGACCTTATTTCAGATGTTTAGAGACTACTTTTGTATGAACAAATTTTGTGGCTTTCCGATACGATATATCAAGTGATTATTAATAAAATGTTGTTGCAATGTAACCCCTTCTCGTCCTACCCTAGAACAACGAATGAAAACTACAACAATACTTTAAAGAAATAAAAATTAACAAAGGAAAATATTTGTATCTTTATGTCCCATTTTGACATCAGTTTTAAGGCAAATAACGGCATATAATTGTATAATTTGTCAGATATGAATAAGACGGACACACGCCATAGGTAGCTTCAAGTGACTAATTTATTATAAGCACTAGAGTCAAGCTCTAATCTCTCATTGTTATAGGCATTACTCATATTCCTAACAACATATTCTTCTTCTATGAATAAAGGAAGGTAATGTTTTTCCCACCAAAGCAAAGAATAGAATAATCTAACCGTAAATGTCATCAAGTTACAATACCCTTCCTACAGTCGGGTAAAAAGAGTAATTAAATACATGTTAATTAACAATACGTCAAAATACGTTTACTTTACAATTACTTGATTAACTGACGAAACTTAACTTATTCTGAATTAATTACATACTTGTATAGGTACTTGGTTGTGGTCGTGTGGGCGTAAGTGCATCCTACTGCCGAGTAAGCAATTAGTTTAAGTTTGATTCCCGGGGTGGACAAGGTATTATTGGATTTTTTATCTGTGGCTCTTTGGATATACTAATATTATCAACATAACATAACATCACGCGTTTTATCCCCGAAGGGGTAGGCAGAGGTGCACACAATACCACTGTACAATGTCACACCCACTTTTCACTATTTAAGATACGAGTCCCATGTAATAGGGGGTGAGCCTATTGCCATATACCGGCCACAATTCCAGACTCCGTGCTATCGTGAGACTTTTTAAAAACCCATTAATACTTTGCTCGACCCGGGAATCGAACCCAAGACCCCTAGCCCGACAGTCGCACTTGCGTCCACTCGGCCAACGAGGCAGCCAACGAGTAATATTATCAAGTATTCAATAATCTTAAACTTAATAGAAGTGAAGCGAAAATATAGTCTACATGTTCGTTTTCTCGAAAACATCTTTTAGTTCTTTACTAAGGGGTGTTAAGCCTAATTCCATTAAATCAAATGTTTAACATGACATGACCCCATATAGCCAATATAGTGAACTGTAATAGACACGATATCTTCCAGATAGCAAACACCATAAAACGGTGACCTCGCCGGAACGCGAACACATAACACACGTTGCGTAACATGCCAAGCCCACGGCGAGGTGTAAACTTTACTGTGGCCACTACAATTATATTGAATTAATTTTACAATGCCAACAGAGACATTATGATATCAAATTGTCACATAATCACTGGGTATGGGTATCACGATCGCTAAGCTTTTTTACATACCTACTTACATATTTTTACATATTTTCATCTTACATATTTTTACAAACATACTTAGATCGATCCGTGTTTTTTTTAAGGGGGGAAAATCATCGAATGACTGCTCCCGCCTGGGTGAGGCGGAAGGGAGTGTCAGACTCTTACTGACTAAAAACCACCCCGTTCCTTCTCCTGCACGTCGAGCCTGAGCCCCGGTTACCCGTTAGGTTCTCCGCGATACGATCGCTAAGCTTAAGGTACATGGATCTGTATTAGGAAATTCTGGTGCTTATAAGAGCTATTTTTGTGTGTTTTCTGGATAGTTTAAGGTATGGAACAGTAGTCTACAATATTATTTTAATTAATTATTTTAAATGTAGTGGTATTCTTAACCCTTTATTAATCAAGAGTCTTATGTATTAAACTCTTTAATTAAATAAATAAGAGCTCTAGATAACTTATTAAACAATATCATATTTTTTTTAAGATATCTAAACTTAGAAGTAGTGGTATTTCTGGTATCTAGAATTTTTTTACAAGATAAAAAAGATGAATGTAGGTCAATATTGTTGACTAATATTTTCTGTAGTACTAAAAAACACTTGAACAAATAGAAATTGTAAGTAAGTATAGTACTTATAGTATTGTGATTGTATAAACGTATATCTAATCTTGTGTGCGTATCAATGGTGCGTATGTCAATAAGTTTCCTCATTTTATACTTATTATTTTGTAAAGCTAAAAACTTTGTTCATTTGTTTGTTTTTTTTAATGCGCTAATCTCTGGGACTACTGATCCGGTTGGAATATAATTATATTTATATTGGATAGTAATGGATAGTGCATTTATCGTGGAAGGCTATAGGCTATGAGCTATGAGTATGAAACATCGCGCTGCTGCAATCAATAGGAGCTGAGCAAAGCGGGTAAAACCGTGCAGAAGTGGCTAGTTCACCATTACTTTGAAGGTTTCGGCGCCTGGTCATATTTTAGAACACATGATCGAGCCCATAGTTTTGTCTTTGTTATAATGGAACTAGTTTAGATCTTCAAAACTCTGTACATAACTCTATGAGCATATAAAAAGACAATTTTATACCACAGGATAAAACCTGCTTTACGTACTTATATCCACAACATAATATATGAGTAACTGTAGATACCTATACCTAATTATAATAGGTATGCGTGCAAGTACCTGTTGGCTGCTACACAAGATCAATAATAGAGATTACGTAATTAGGTATTTATTAAAGTTGTTTACACCTCCGTTCATAGTTCACCTCTTTGGCTCTTCGTAGTAATCTATGGTTTAAAGAGTCACGATTTTCTTTTGTTTGTAGCTTGGGTTTATATGGATAGATAGTTATTGGATAACTTTGACAGGAAATTGCAATAATATGATATTACGTCTTTCACGCCTTTGTACTTTGAAGGGGTAAAAGTAGGTACGGCGGCCAGCAGGTTAACCTACCCTTTTCTATCGAATTTACCTATTACATCTTCAACTTTATCGTATTGACATAAAGTTGAAAATCCACAGATTGGGGTAAACTGATCTCCTGGCCACTGTACCTTAAACTTATATTAGCACAAAGAGCACAGTTCCTTTACAAGATACATGCAGGTGCGGTTTTTTTTAAGGGGACTCATCGAATGACTGCTCCCGCCTGGGTGAGGCGGAAGGGAGTGTCAGACTCTTACTGACTAAAAATCACCCCGTTCCTTCTCCTGCACGTCGAGCCGGAGCCCCGGTTACCCGTTAGGTTCTCCGCGACATGCAGGTGCGGTAAGAGTACCTTGTAGCGGGAAGGGTAAGCATATTTAATTATTTATTAACGATGGTTATGGTCATTATACTGAGAATTTCAAAGCCGAAAATAGCACTTGAATAAGTTGAATTTAGAAATCAGAGCTTTGTCCTCGACAGCATATGCGACTAGGACGACTCAGACAACGAGACTATCCTATGCGCAACCAGACATGCTGCATGTAGGCTATATGTAGGTACTAGGTAGGTAGGTGCTAGGTACTTTTATAGCCTTTCTGTTCTAGGTATTTCTTTTACGAGTCTATTTGAGGTTAATGATGTTAACACTTAACTAATGCTATGTCCTGTCGTATAATCTTATAACGACGGACTTAAATGGCGGACTAATAGTCGGGAACTGAGTTCAATAATTATAGGTAACTTTCAATCAGTTTCTAGGCGGCATGTTCTGAGCAAGTTCCTGTGCGAAACTGTTCTAAACTAATCACTTCCTTACGTACAAGAAATGTTATATCGGATTAAATAAATGAAGTCTGTATTTATCATCAAGCAATCATGCAAAATCCGGCAATTTAGTAAAGAGTTTTTCTGTAATGACATTCTAAATAACGTCTGTGGTATTTATTCGTTACTTCACCTTTTATCTTGGACCTAAAACATAGCAGACAAAATGTTGTACGTAGCTAAGTTTAGAATAAGTTAAGAAGCCTTAAAGAAATAAAATATTCTTGTGTATAAAATATTCCTTGTATACAAATCTTCATGTTCCACATCAGAAACTACTTGCTATAAAGTCATAAGTATCCATTACTCTGACCTCCTTAAAAATAATGCAACATGGCCTACATAAGATCACGTACCTCCATATATGGCGTCCGCGAAGGCTCCTCCCACCGAATCCCATGTGACGGAGGTGAGCAGCGACCACTCTCGCGACAGCTTCTGCAGCAGCAGCGCCAGCCGAGCCTCATCATCTTGAGATATACGTTTCGTCACCAAGCAGGCGACGCACATCAACTGGGAACAGAAACAAAATATTAGTAAGGATGATGGATGAAGGAAAGATATTTTCATCCAGGTACTTCTACTCACTACCTATCGAAAACTAGCCTCCTATTAGTATGAAACAAAGCTACACGAGTCTTAGGTACAGCAGCATCTTCTCAAGACTGCAAGTCTTTTAAATAGATGCACGTTCAGAATTAAAGAAAAGAAAAGAAAATTTGTCGACTGAACAAGCAAGGAAAGTAGGGCTACGTATCGAACTTAACAAATTCTAAATTAATTTAAAAACATTTAATATTACAATCTGGTTTTCAATAAATACAGGAAAAGATAGATACTAACTACTGTTTTCTAAAACCTCATAAGCATACAAAAGTAAAGACAATGCCGTGTACGTCGTCGGTAACTAAAAACTCAGACCTTGTATACGCGACACGCGTATAGGACATCCCAAAAGGAAATATCACTATTGTCCCAGCAACAATAGGCGGGCCAGCAGTGGCGGTCCTTCGGCGATTGTCGCGTATGACGTCACTGTCCACCGTGGGACCGACATTGGAGAAGCGCGTGCGCGCCGCCACTTAATTATTATAACTACACGTAAATAACGTGTGCGTTGAATACGGAAACGCTGATGACTGTAATTTTTAATGTTGCAAATGTGTCAAAATTGTGTAGCTCTACACACACTGCCTGCTTCACATGCAATGTATTTAAAGTTATAAACAAATGTATTCAAGTTAAACATAATGATCTGCTGAGCAAAAGCTCAGTTGACAGATATTTCAAATTTTTCATTTTTTAGTTGCATACCTATTTATTTCTCCCGTGGCCCGTGGGGACTTGATTTAATGTTGCGAGTATCTACGAGGACCACAATTACCTCTATTGAACATACATCGTGAAATCTATTTCGATTTCGTCTCGCGGCAAAACAACTTGCCATAAAATGTACTTAAAAAATAAAGAAATAATTTATTTAGTTTAAATAAAGTTTCATGGAAATACGTACATAAAACACTAGACGTTTTAGAGGCACTATTCGCTTCGCATGTGCCACCCGACGAGAAATACCTCTTCGGGAATTTCATGCCGTAATGTTTTGTTTTGATAATGTACCTACTATGAGTTCGTATGCGCTTTTGAAGTTGGCTTTTTGCGATGGTTCACCAGTTATTTTTTGCTTTAAAACATTTAATATTTTTTTGTTTAACTTTTGTATTACCAAAACAACCATTTTACTTCGGGACGAAAACGAAATAGATTTTAGGATGTATATTTAACAATTTTCAAATACAGGACACGCAGACAGGACATGAGATTCACGAGTGGAATCTCATGTGTACAGACAGGTACCTTTTTTATATTTGATGGGCCGACGTTAGACCTATACAACAATTAAAAGTGCATTGCCACAAATACGAACGACTCTAAATTGATTAAGCAATTAGGTAAGTCTGATTAGTTCTTACATAAATATTTAGTTAGTCAGGAGTTTGTTTCTACTTATTTACGTACCTACCTAATATTTATATCAGTAAGTATCAATGTATATATATGAAGTAACTTGTTACTTCTGCGAGGTTTCACTAGCTCTGTTTTACCGTGTTGTAGCGTGATGATTTATGGCATATAGCCGTAGTCGGTAGACGCACTATCCGGACCAATAGTTCTGGAGCCGGAGATTAGCGCGTTCAAGCAAACAAACAAACAATTCAGCTTTAAAAAGTTAAGTGTAAGATTATAAGATACGTTTATGATGTATCAATGTTCAGAGGCTAGTTAGATGTTAGTTTAGGAAAGGTTTAGGGTTCTTTTTAATTTTTATCAACTACATTCAAGTTTCTACTACTTTTGCGGTGGTCAGTATTATTCCAAATGCTAGAGATCATAGGTAAGATAGAAGATACGTGTTAGCTCATGCAAGGACGCTTACACTCGGTTAATGAGCTAGGAGCCTGCGCCTTTGTGTCACAGGAAGCTGGAGACTTTAACAAACATTAATTCTTCTCTGCAAACCACGTCTTGTGAGTCATCAGAAAATACTGACCAGACATTATTTATTGTCGGGATCGAATAACTCAGAATATTGTCCTATGTAATGTAGTAAAACAAGTATTATTTCATCAGATTACAATAATAATTATTAGACATTGAACTAGTCGCGCCCAAGACGGTAATTACGGCGTAATTATTGGTAACTGAGAACTGATTGGCTGATTCACTGAGACAAAAATTTTTAATTTGTTATTACTTTTTATCTTATTGTATTTTTGGCGTTTTTATTTACCAACTAAATATTTTGTAGCATATGTATCCCAGTTAGTGCTCTACCCCCACATGGGTATATAATTTATGTATTTTTAACTTTTATATCGGCTTTATCTCCATATGCATGTAGGTAAATAGTTAGGTACACATAGTTAAATGCATTAAAAGCTGACACCAGTAAAGGCTAGCTATTGTCTTATTGTTTACTGGTAGCGTCAACCATTTATCTTTTTCCCGCAGTTAAAGCCCCAAGTCTCTTTGTAAAAAATTACAATCTGGGAATTTTGATAAACAAGTAAATACTTTAAGTGTGGTTTATAGACAGACACATTAAATGTTCTAATATTAGCTACTTCATAGAGAAAAGATGTTCTAGTCACGTATTGTATTTAATAAAATAAATTATGATTAAAAACGCACGTACTTTAACTTTTTTTTTTTTTAACTTTAAAACAAATTATTAAAAATAGTTGTATAAGATTTGAAATAATTAAATTATTGCATTAATTAAAAATATTATTTTGTAAGTAGAGTAAGTACTTTTGCGGTGCCCAAATGGGCCTATAGTTGGAACATATTTTGTCATAAATTGTAAACAACCCTGTAAACACTATAGATGCATTAAAGTGATTTGAATTTGAATTTGAATTTGAATTACTTAAGCTAATTAAAAAAAATGTAGACTGTCTTGAAATAGTATGTATGTAGAACACCGCATTTAATTCATAAATTATACTTGTCTAAGTAGAGACACGAGTATAATGACTTCAAGACAATATTGTCAATTTGTCTTCTTGCCAAATACTTTTCAACTTTTGATAACAAATTAACCTCCTAAAACGGTGATCGCATTAACACAACAAAAGCTCCAGAAAGGTCAGATGACTGTAAGAAATGTTTGAACCAGAATTGAATACTCGTTCGCAGCCTCATTCATATTTAAAGGTATTCGAGGCCTCCATTGTTTAATACACTTAGCCATAACCATAGCGCAACAAGTTTTATTTTAGCTTGGGTGTCAATATGATACGTATTGACAATAAACAACAATTCCGTCGGTAATAAGCCCATAATAATGGTTGAATCTTTTAAACACTTTATAAAAATAAACAGCCTTCGTAGTAAAATGTGTCTAATACGAGATTCAGTCGTTAACCGATTATGTGCTTATTATGTGATTTATCGAATACTGTAGTTAGTAAACGCTTGATACTTCGTTATGCAACTACCTACCTTCCAAGAATTTTCTCTGACCGACTAAGCATGTTTGCTATCTACCGGTGGTGTTGTAAAACAGTTGTGACTATGATAAGGCTGCAGGTTAAACGTGAAAGTAAAATTGTTATCGGACGAGCTTTATCACTGCGAACCTAACTTGACGTTGTGTTATGAATATTAATTACCTGTATTTATGAAATATCCGGGCGATTACTGACTAAACGGACATAGGCCTTATTGCCTTTTATCAGTACCTGCTGATTAGAAGCTAGCAGTCCTAAGTTTCTTAAAAACTCCCACTAGTAATTAATAAATACGATTTTTTCCTACTTTTCACAACGCGACAGATAAAAATAAGTTCTTCTTTCATCACAACAGAGTAGATTTTTGTCTACTCAACAAAAACGATTCAATTATAATCAAAATACTAATGATAAATTATAATACAAATAAAAAGCCATTACAAAAACTTAATTCAAAGTCTACTAGCGACCAATACACATCCAATAAGCATGCTCACTAACAAGTTACCAAATCAAAGAGGCTTGCATCACCGATCGTGTTGCAATAATATGTTAAGTTACTTACGAACTCGACTATCTTCAGCGCGACCCACTTGTCGCAGACCGCCATGGTCCGGCCGGCAGCTGTGGCTTGCACTAAACACACACGTCTCACTATTATAGAGTCACTCGAACAGAGTTACGCGAGTGACATAATACACTCATAGTTTACAAGCAGACATCCGTGCGACGCGACCGCCGTGTTTTGTTTGAGGCTAGCGACCATTTTCACGGTGCGTCTGATTGAGTGACATTGAAGGAAAACTTAAGCGGCTCGGTGTGGGCGCGCGAGCTGCGGTCGTCTCGTGCAAGGCTCAACTGCGCACCTGCAGCTTATCTCTCGCAGTAGCGTTACTGAAGCTGCGATACCATACATAGAGAGCAGATAACGCAGTAGACGAACAAATATAATGTAAAAGATTACACGTAAGTTTAAGCAAAAAGATACCAAGCAAAAATAATGCAATAACAAGAAGGAAAGCAAGCAACGAAATAAAACAGCGAGGACATTAAACCATTATACTTAAATTTATTAATCAATACTGGCATGCAATATTATTTAAAAATCTCATAAAACATCGAGAGATAAATTCATATGGTCTCGTTACAAAATGTTCAGATTTTGTTAATCGCATATAGATAATTTCATAATGCTGAGTTTATTCATTGCTGAGAAAACAGTTCCAAATTGATTTACTTAAAACCTGATTTTAAATAAGACTTATTCATACACAGAAATAGTACAATAACATGAACATTTATTTCGTTGAAAAAACATCAAAAAATGCAGATTGCCAGTAGTGCAATAATCCTAACGCGGCCGTCGACGACGACGCGACGGCCCGCAGTTGCCCTTAATTCATATTATCTATAACATTTAAACAATATTGTAGACTCATGCTTAAAATATACCTACCGATGCTGCCTTAAAAAAGCTTCAAATTTTAATTAATACATAAATAATTATGCCGTTCAATTGGATTCTTAATTAAAATACATTTAGGATTAAATTAAAATAATGTCTAAAATTAAAATTTTTAAATTTACCTCTCTTATGCCTTACCTGGAGTGCAAGAGATAGACGATCACAACACAGAGCTATAATAAAACATGAGTGCAACACATACTAACATAACTTACAAGGGCAATAAGAACACATTCATTATTATTCATTAGTTAATTATACTGTTTTCAAATTTGATCATAATTGATTCTGGTAATAATAAAAATTAAATAAGGTATATAAACGAGTATGCATGCCATAGTCTGTCACTGAAATGGACGTCGAATACATAAACATTATACCATTCAGAATTCTAAAGAATTGTACTAATATAATGGCTATTTGATTTGTCCCGTTTTATAAAACATTGTAAAGGAATAAAAGCGAGAAACCAAATAAATACTTTATTGTGTATTCATTGGCTTTTCTGCCATTAAGTAATGTTGTAAAAGAAATATTTTGTAAACACGATTGAACATTTTTGCTTAGCAAAGTGTAACAATGACTGAATGGTAACTGTTTAAATATTCATTTCAGTACATTTTATATCAGTTTATGTCGGAAAAGCTAAAAAAGCGCACACCACTCCCAAAGCTGAATTATTAGTGTAGTTTCCAAAGCAGATAACTAAATTGCACCGCAGAAAAATAGCAGCGAGGAGATAAGTATTAGAATAAAAAATTTGAGTCCTGTATCATCTTGACGAACTCAACATGCTTTCGAAAACACACTTCGTACAGAAAGCTTTGCTACAAAAAGTGCTGTATCTCCCACACTCCAACAAACTCACTTTAAGTGCAACATGCTAACGAGACAAACATTGTGCACCCTTAATCATGCAATAAATTAATCAACATTAACAAAACTTAAAACGAAAACGGGGAAACGGGACAGTTATACGGCGCGTGTATTGATTGTCATGATGAACATCGTGTTATTATGAGACGAGTAAACATGGCTAGTATTTGGGATCCCTTTAAAATCATTAGTTTTTCATTGATGTATATTTCTTTAATACTTAGACATCATTTACGAATTTTGTATTCGCAGCGAACTGCTGTAATTAAGTTGCACGTCAACGGCCACTAATCATTTATCAATACGATTGTAAAACTGTCCCGTTTTGAACAAATAGCGCGTGCACTCACTGGCTATCTTTGCCGGGAGTGATGAACTCCTGCAGCGGATGGCGCGCAGTCCATGGATTAAAGTCACGCGGTTGCGGTGGCGTAGGCATGCGGGGAGCACCCAGACCAGTTCCAGGAGCTCCAGGGGGCGCCCAAACACCAGCCTCACGACCAGCTAGCCCAAGCCCACCTCCGAAACCTAGCGAAGTCATCGACGATACCAGAGACTCCATGCCGTTGTTAATACGGTTTGACCACCTGTTACGACAAGGAACTTAATATTTCCAACAGTTCTTTTATTCAGTGTTTATGGTATACATGATGAAATGATGATTCAACAAATACTTACTCAGCAGCAGCAGCGGCACTACGTTGGGCTTCGTGAATCATGCGCAGACGACGTGCTTGAGACCATGGTTCGAGCGTATAGGAGGGCGCAGCAGGCGGTGGCGATGTAGTTGCGGGTTCTTCAGGTGCCCGAGTCAACTCCACTCCACGTTCAGGAGTCCAACGTCCCACCTTAAAATAATTCAAGTATTATAGGCAAATCTTTAATATCCGTAGGTACATACAAAATTTAGTAGTAGAAATAAAATACCTCTCGATATTGTTTGAGCAGTTGCGGGGACTGAGGGAGTGACCAGTCTACAGCAGGTCTAGCGCCACATCCCCAAGCAGCAGCAGCGGCAGCAACCAAGGCCTTCCTGGCCATAGCAGCACCGCGGTGAGACTTGTACTCAACAATTGCTGCGCACGAAGCAATCGACCGACGGATACGCACTTCTTGCACTTCATCTGTCAGTGCGTATAACAAGCGGATAATCTCCGCAGATGGCGTAGTCGGTGGTATACGCGATATGAATATACGGCAATTGTTAATTGATGGACAGACACCTAAAAAATTATCAATTTTGATTAATGATTCTCAAGAAAAATATAAGACAACAATGTAAGATTATCGCTCACCTAGCTGCCAAGAAGGTCTTATCATGTAGTTGTTAAACATACGAATAGCATTGCTTGCTTCTGCATCAGTTGTATACATCGCGAAGGCATACCTGAACAAGGACAAAATTAGACATAAAACATTATTTTCGTGTGTAATTAATAAAATAATCAAAAGCCTTTTGTTCTATTTCTATTTGTATTTACCCTCTATTCCAGCCGGAGAAGTTGATCATGAGTCGAAACTCAAACAGCTCACCAGCTTGACGGAACAACGGTACCAAAGTGTCTTCGAAACAGTCATGAGGGATTCGTCCAATGAACACCTGCGGTTTATAAAGAGTTTTGATACGGAAAGCAACAATTTGCTTAGTCAAAGTTATAGGCGCACAAAATATGAGTAATAGTAACACAGTGATTTTTAAGGATATCTGCTACTGAGGCATAGTTTTGAGTCTGGGGGAGCCATGCTTCGTTTTCGAATGGACCAATTCCATGGAGTGCTACCACGGCGTCACAAAAAACTCCCAAAGTACATGCATACGACGACGCCGCGCGCCGCCGCAAAAGGCTGGCAACGCTCCGTGTTTCCTCTGGTGTTTCAAGTGTTATGGGCGGCGCCGACTGCTTAGCATCAGGTGATCCGTCTGTTGATATGCAGACTTATCCCATAATACTATACGCGATGATTGTCTGTGTAATCTTGTAGAACATGTTGCGTGTCAATATTGCTGTACGATACAATACGATACGAATAACTATAAATATGCCACTAGATTCGCTCATCTCAACTACATAAGACCTCCTGGGTAACATTAGACACGCTACATGTTGCACAAAATATTGCCCCCCAATATTATATTGATCGTCAACGCGAAGTTTCGTTTTAGGACCCGGTAATCGAACGCAAGTCCCTCGTTCGGTAGTTGTCCATTGCTCCACCTACTATAATAATAAAAACAAACAAGTCTATACGACACTAGTTAACAATGACAGACTACACCTACACCATATTGATTAGGCACAGAGGAGTTAAAACACGTCGTTTTCTCGAAAGACAATCAATGAATAAAAGAGAGAAAAGTTCTCACCTAAATACCTACATATCTTATTGTGTGAACAAAGCGTTACATTGCTTTTGGAATGGGATGCTACACCATGTAGCTATTGATTTCTTGAATTAAATTTAAACATTTGCATTGAGCACACACATTGAGTCCGCGCCGCACCAACGGCTACTGAGCGCTTTTTCATCTAACTGCCTAAATAAAAATTTTCCTTAGTGCACCTGGTTGAATTAATTCCCAGGTGAACAAGGGAAGCTAAGATCTACTTAAATTAAAGACGGTCTTGTGTGTACTGTGGAATAAAGCAGTGCAGTGGATTAAACTTTCTAAATCATCCTTTTGGCTTAAAAGATCCTGTGAACTAGGTAAGATTTAGCTCGATCTCGAAATAGAATCGCAGCTCGTGAGCCAGAGGCCGATGAAACCAACAAAGCCACTGGGCTAGCGCCGCTCTATGGGCACGCGTGTGCGCGTATCGCAGTGTCGCGGCGCTGCGCCCCTGTCTGTCTGTGTACTACAATATAACCTGGCGCCCTAGGCACTTGCCTATTTTGCTTTAGGGATAATATAGCTCTACGTGAGCCACTGTGCTGGCGCTGGCGAGCATCTGCTCCGACGAGCAGAACAGAGAACAAATGCCGACGCATTTGGACAATAAATGCCTTAATAATTTTATGCCCAAGAGGATTAAAGTTTAAAAAGCATGGTACGGGTTATTTAGATAAACAAGATAATTACTAGGTATTCAATGCACAGAGTTCAATGGCTGAATACAGATTACAATGAAATAAGTAGGTAGGTACCACTTTGGCGCCAAAATATATTGAATGTGATTTTCAGTACTGTAAAGGATAATATAGATACTGTACGTTTATATACCTAAGTACTTGGAAGTACAGACTTGGAACTAAGTATAATTAAGTATGTAATTTATCAACTTTTTACAACAGCGCCAGCGCCGATGGCAGCTGGTCTGCTAGGTATTGCGAGTGTGTCCTAGGCTTCAAGGCCTCAAGCTCAAGCTCCTATTTCCAATTAAATCATTATAATAATAAATGCTTTGATGGATGATACCATCGAGAATAGCTTTGGGCTTGGTCCAACAAATAGATACACGAGACCATGTGATAGCGCAGTGCTTCGAATAACCTACAGTCGGCAAAACAAAATCGCGCTAAGACACTTCGACTTTGCTTCATGAGCTTTTAATAAGGTACCTACCTACGAATACATCAAGTACCTATCACGAATCGATTGCATCAAGACGAGGGTCTGTTCGAGTTAGGTAGGTAGGACAAAAAGCTAGTTTCTTTAGCTAAGTGAGTAGGTACTTACCTACAGAAAAAGAACGTTCAATACTTAGACGACGTCAAACTTACCTCACAATTCCTTGAAGGTTCTGGACCACTCCATGCATGAGGCGCCTTTCTATAAATCCTTTGGCCATTTATTTGAGTAAGAGTATACGATGTATTATTTTCAGTAAGGGATAAAAGTCTTGATGATAATTCATACTGATTCACTTCACTAGACGAATAATGCTTAACAGGAGGCATTTTTAGCCAATAAAAATATTTTTCTTACAATAATATTTACGAAAATATTTTACGACGTAAACGCGCTGTCCGTGATTCCCAATAAAAGAAACAAACGGAGTCGATATTTTTCTCAGGAAAAGAAAATGGCGATTTGACAACAAAATGGAAGCTCGACCCCGTGACCTTCAATTTTAAGTTATCAAATAATTCAAATAGACCACCTTACATGAATTCAAGTAACATCCATTTTAATTAAATATAATAGGATCGATTTTAACATTAATTAGTATTTTGTTAAATGAAAAGTAAATCAATATTGGAAAAAAGATGTTATTTGATCAGGAAATAAGTTTAAAATTTAAAACACGAACGATCAGACAGTGTTTTCTTTCGTATCAAGTTTATGTTTGATTATTTTAGAATTCTTTATAGTTTCGTTCGATAGTTATATAGGTATGACGACTGCACAAGTTTAAACCGTAAAATATTAAATTTATAGAATAAAATTGATAATATTACTTTAACTTCTTTCTACGAATTCTTTTTTTTGTAATCTGATGTATTTTCCGGTTCCTTTTGCCAGAAGACAATATTATGACAAAACCTAAAAGTTGAAAAAGTTCTTCATAACATTGAAATACAAAATAAAACGAATTTTAATTAAATTGATATAATGTTCATGATATACCTAATTCGTTAAAATAGATTAAATAATAACAATGAGAGTGCAAACACAATGAAATTTAAAAATCGAAGTATGTAAGGGTGACAATAATTAAAGGAAATGGCAAAACAATATTTTGGTTATTTGTTCTGCTATTACCGCCCTGTCTTGCTACGTCATTCATGTTGTAAGTATTCTTTAATTGCATTCTCAAAATATAAATCTTTCGAGTTTTGGGATTCATTCGTAGTATTTGTTGTTTTGTGAAGTACTCTAATTTTTCTTTATTCATTGCAGTCAAAACTTCCGGACTAATAGCTGTCACGGCTTCAAGTTGAATCGAGCTAATATCAATTTTAGGTATACCTATAGATCAAAATTAAATATTATGATTTACGTATAGCTTAGAAATAAAATATGTACAAATAGGTAGATACTAAGAATATGCTTACACGTGAATAAAGCACTAAGTCTACCAATTTCATGCGATGACCATTTATATGGTTCGCCATAAGCGTCATGATGAATAGCTATAGAATAAAGAGCCTGAAAATTACAAATGATTAAAATAATCGTAAATTAATAAATTAATGGAATTTGATATGAATGAAATGAAATGATATTTATTTCTGCAAATAAATTACAAAGTAACACTTTTACATGTCAATCTTTAAATTACTGGATGAAGGCTGGCATTTCCTAACTGACTACTTTGAGAAGAAAGGCTGAAACAAACTCAGAGGTCATTGTATCTTTTAAAGTCCAGACATATTATAACTATAATCGAGAATCGTGCGAGTTGATTCTGTATTGGTATTTTGAGGAAAGATCCACAATAGTTTGAGCGGACCTGTTCTGATGGCAGCACGCATGTGTTAGTTTTCAATCAGCTCAAGTAACATAACAGATATTGCTAATTGAACTGACGAATAATACCAACCAAAAGAACATTTAGGTAGGTCGCACAAATGCTCAAACTGTCAGAATATAATTAATGACAGTGAAATAACTAGGCTAGGTAAGTCTCACACATTACTTTCACTTACAATTTTTGTAAAAGAAATATTTAAACTCATGCATTCAACAAAAGAAAAAATATATATAAAGGAAAATAATTTCAAATATTATAACAATTTATATTACCTTAGCCTGTTTTATGTTACATTTTCCAGTTTTGCTAAGGGTTTCGAAGCTTATTTCTTTGAAGGTAGTAGGAGATATTTTTGCTAAGTCTGAAGGTGGGAATCCGCAGAGTAGGTAGCCGAGTTCATTGATAAAGGAACTGTTGTGATACCATGAGTCGCCGTAATACCGTCTGTAGGCTGATGCTAGAATACCATACTGTAAGTGAAAACCTTAGGTAAAACAAATTATGGTTCCATAAAATATAATAACACCAATATTAAAAATCTGAAACCTTTCTGGGTTGTAATTTGATGAAATGCGAAGCGAAATGATTGAGAACTGATGGGTCTCCAAAATTAACATAATACAAGTCCTCTTCTGGCACTACATCCAATAATGATCCAAAAGCTAAATACTCACGACCTTGCAAAAAGGCAGCAGTTTTTCCATCTGTAATAATACAATACACATCTTATATTTCTAACTATCTGTATGTCAAACTCTTTTATTGCATGATCTTGCAGATTATTTAATATTAATAAATAGGTATCATGTTAAAACTGTAACGGTCATCCTTACCAGTTATAATATCCCATGCTAGTAAGGCTCTACCGATGGGTATCATGTATTTCTTTGTCTGCGTTAATATGTGTAAAATTGAGTCGGCGTCAAGTCTTAAAAAAGAACTTGGCGGGCCGAAGAAAATCATATTCATCGATTGTTCTATTCCCAATCTATTGTCAAGCTCATCGTAGAACTCATCATATGTTATGAAATTGTCTATAATGTAAATAAAACTATCTTTAGTAAGCTATATATTCTCAGATTTTTTTCGATGCTTGAATTTGTGAATTATTTGATTAAGATTTTATTATCTCAATTACTTAGCTGAGATATCTAAGCCATCGTAAATTTGACCAGTCTCTTACTCTTATTATTACCAACAGGACTATTATAAATAAATCATAACTGAGATAAAAATAAAATTTGCTCAACTTTATGCTTTTGAGAGGGATGTATATAGTCACACAATGTGATAAATTACTGACTTTAGTGGACTATATCTCTATGAATTAAATTACATTGAATGGCAAGAAATTGAATTTGGTACATAACATTTTATTCAAAATGTGTTAAGTTAAATAAACGTGCCTTTATCAGCTACTGCAATCATTGCATTTCTATCGTCTTCGTATTGAAGACTCAATTCTTCGATTGATTCAGTAGGAGAAGGATGCATTGCACATAGACACTCCTTCAAGTAATGGCTAAAAGCAAAATTTTATGTGGGTAGACAAATTCAATACTTTTATCGAAATGTCAAAAATTATATTTTTCTACGAGAATTTTGTAAGAGATTGGTACTTATGACGTCACTTTGTTTTAGGGTTTTTATTGATAGTGGGTAGACGTTTAGGGCTTTAATGATTTCTTTAAAAATTGTTAATACAAATTCGAAAAAAATGTATGTGTACAGCCAAAACAATTTACTTTTAGACCTAATAAATTACTCAATAGAAAAAATAGTTTTGCAAAAAGTGCTAACCCACAACCCATATTATTGTCACCCTATTCCTACCACAATATTTTTGGTGTTAAATAGTTAATACCAAAATAATTACCCATTTATTATAAATATGCAAAGAACTAAATTATTTGATATCATTTTGTAGAATAATTTGTTTTCACGTGGGTTTCGTTCGGTAGATTATACTGCATGGATCTTCTAGTTGGCTTTTTTGTAGATACCTAGGTAAAATATTACTAAGATGTCAGACAACAAAAAAATCTATTATAAGATTTTAATTCACAAAAAGTTTTAATAATTTAATAAAGAAAAACAGCTTTATAAAGTCACAAACGAATCACTTGAATTTCTTCGTGTATTTTATTAATCAGAGAGAAAATAGAGTAAGTACCATCGACAGAAAGTTTGCAGTTTGCTTTTCTTTTTTTTCTCTTGACAATTTTTCATTTGTCGCTGGAACGCGACTAACCTAACCTTAGATCGCTGTGGCCTTTGATGTATTGTAGAAACTTTATTAATTACAATCTACTTGTAATATTCAGTTATTAGTGCGAAATGTTCATTATTCTATAGATATTTGTTGTTCTTAATTAGAAAAAAACATACATTATATTCATTGGTTACGTGTTATACTTTTGTTGTCGTTGTCAAAAGTGAGTGGTTTACCATGGGTATTTTAGAGAAAATATCTGAAATCGAAAAAGAAATTGCAAGAACACAGAAGAATAAAGGTAAAGTATATTTAAATAGGAGTTCTCTAAGTCTACGATTGCAAATTATTTGTGATATAATAAAATTACACCTACCATATATTGGTATTGAAGTCTAGAAGATGATGATGTGAAAGAGAAGTTCCAGATTATAAAGAAGTGTGACTTTTTAAGTGTATATTTACCCATATGGGGCGGTTCCTTTTTGCCGGCTAAAACTGTACTGAACAAAGGATATTGTATGTTAACCATGCTTATTTACAAACAGTGAACTGGCAGCCTGGTAACTGTTCTACTTTGTTGAATGTTAAATTATGAACAATTAACTCATTATAGGCTTATGATTATTTTTGTGGTAAATGTATTTAGAATGGTATAATTACCATTTTTAAATGTTTGGCTTAAAACTCAATTTGTTTACTGCCTTAGTGCATTAGAATTAGAAACATTGATTGTGAAATAATCTTAATATAATTGTTCTAATAGAGTTAATCAATCAATTATTGTTATTTGTGATAACTGTTTTTCTGTTACAACACTTATGTGATGCAATGAGATTTATTACTACTTAGTTATATAAATAGCTGATAGTTAGCCAAGTAATGCCATGCAATTTTTGGCAAGACATTGGCCAAAGTTGTTTGTAAATTCTAATCCAAAATTAATTCCACAGCTACCGAATATCACTTGGGGTTATTGAAGGCCAAGTTAGCCAAATACCGGTCCCAACTCCTAGAGCCGTCTAAGAAAGGAGGTGATAAGGGTGAAGGGTTTGATGTGCTGAAGTCTGGAGATGCCAGAGTAGCCCTTATTGGTTTCCCCTCAGTGGGTAAGGTAAGAATTAACCATTGAAATTGTTTCATATTTACTTAATTTTGTTATCCTGCTTATTCATTTTTACCTTGTATTGAAAGAACTAAATTCCGGAACTTTTAATAAATTGAATTTAAGAATATAAATTTGTAGGACACTAAACAGTGCATTGAGTAAGCACTAGTATGATATTTATGTAGAATTATTTTATTAATAATCAATCTGTTTATTAAAAAGAAAGCATAGCATTGATGAAATTTTGCAACATAGCTTTGTTTAATTTATATAAATCACTTGTTTTATTTTCCAGTCAACTCTTCTATCAACTTTGACCCACACACATTCAGAAGCAGCCAGCTACGAGTTTACCACGCTGACATGCATTCCCGGTGTGATAGAGTACCGCGGCGCCAACATACAGTTGCTTGATTTGCCTGGTATCATTGAAGGTGCTGCCCAGGGCAAGGGTAGAGGACGACAGGTAAATCTTGTTATTACTGTAGAATAAGAAATTTTTGTATTTTATTTTTATATTTATGCGTGTTCCTTCCCATTTTTGTCATCAATTTTTTGCAAAGTAAGTTACTTTAAGAGTAAGACCAAAGTAAGTTAGTTTATATAAAATATATCTTGTTAATTTTAGGTGATAGCTGTAGCAAGGACAGCAGACTTGGTGCTAATGATGCTGGATGCTACAAAGCCCTATGTGCACAGACAGCTGCTGGAGAAAGAGTTGGAGAGTGTCGGCATCAGGCTGAACAAGCCTAAACCTAACATCTATTTCAAAGTAAGTTACAGCAAATAACTAAACCATATTATATCAACTGAGAATCAATTCTTTTTATTCTGGAAATACACAATATTGTTCTGGTTTTTCTTACATTTTACATCTGTTCAAGTTAGTGCTTTCTAATATTTTTTGTATATCACTCTAGGTGAAGAAAGGTGGTGGTCTATCATTCAACTCAACATGCCAGCTTACCAAGGTTGACGAGAAAATGGTGCAAATGATTCTGCATGAATACAAGATATTTAATGCTGAGGTTTGTAATATAGCAATCATAATTATTAACTGAAACTGAAATAAAATGAGGTATAATAAAAATATTTCTTCTAACTTATATTTCTAATACTCCAGGTATTATTCCGTGAAGATGCAACTGCAGATGACCTGATCGACGTAATCCTCGCGAACCGAGTGTACCTGCCTTGCCTGTATGTGTACAACAAGATCGATCAGATCTCCATCCAAGAGGTGGATAGAATAGCCAGACAACCACACTCTGTTGTTGTTAGGTGAGGAACCTATTTTGATCTTCCTGCTTCGTAACTTTCATTAAACATTATATATCTCAACTATAACAGAATAAATTTTTACTAAGATTTAATAAATATATACATTTTTGCTAAGATAAGACCAAATTGACTGCTATTCAATCTGTTTTGTGTAATAAAGTGTATGTAACTATTTATTTTTGTTTTAGTTGTAACATGAAGCTGAACTTAGACTTTCTATTGGAAACCCTCTGGGAGTACCTGTCCCTTATCAGGGTTTATACTAAGAAGCCAGGTCAGCCCCCAGATTTTGAAGATGGTCTCATTTTGAGAAAGGTATTGTATAATAATTATGATATTTTCATTTTATATTTGTCATATAACTAAGTTGATTTATCAATAAACACAACGAAATAACTACAACTGCCTCATTGGCCGCAAGTGCGACTGCAGGGCAAAGGGTCTCTGGTTCGATTCCTGGGTCGGGCAAAGTATTACTGGGTTAAGCCCAGTAGTTGCACGGAGTCTGGAAACGTGTCCAGTATATCGCAATAGGCTCACTCCCATTACATGGGACTCATGACATAAATAGTGAAAAGTTGGTGTTACATTGTACAGTGGCATTAAGTGCCGTAATGTGCACCTCTGTCTATTCCTTCAGGGATAAAAGGCGTGATGTTATGTTGATGATGAAATAACAACTAATAACTTTTCCTCTCTTCCAGGGTGTAACAATAGAACACGTTTGCCACTCTATTCACCGCACGTTGGCAGCGGCACTGAAGTATGCCTTAGTTTGGGGCACCAGCACCAAATACTCTCCACAGAGAGTGGGACTCGGCCACACAGTGCAGGATGAGGATGTTGTACAACTCATTAAGAAGTAGCAATGGCTTGTTTCACTATTACTCGATGATCTTTCGCATAGACGTCGATTGCTTGAAATTCGGACTGTATTTTAAGCAGTGCACATTGGTTATTCTGAAGTGTTACGTAGAGGGAAATATTTGTTTGTCTCGTTATGCAATTCATATCTAACAAACGAAAGATCGTGAAAATATTGTCGTCATTATAATGTAGCTTGTTTGCCAGATATTTAGTCTATTGGAAGGACGAATTTAGAACTTAGTGATTATAAAAAGCAAGTATGAGGAGACTGTTTGATTGGCGTAATTTTTTAATGTACCAATGTGCAACGCTTGACATTTGAGCATATTTAAAGACTATGTAATTCTATACTGTGTACGAAAATAGCTAATTTTTAGTTATGTTTGATAATTCTACTGATTGAAACCGTTTTATAGAAAACTATTTTATTACTGGAACATGTTGTAATGACTGAGAATGTTATATAAAGTTGTTGGTTCCATATAATTACAAATGCATATGTGTTACGTAAATAGAAATATATCCAAATCTTTACTACTACTACTAATATAAATAGGTCACATTTCGTATTATAAGATAACCATGAAATAGGTAGATATTCCTTCCAAATCAATTCTAAACTTCATTATTTATATTGACTAATGCAAAACATTAAAAGTTAGAACCCATGATTGTGCATTGTGATAAGCTGGTTAAATGAATCCTTATGTTTTATGATGTGTTCTATCTTCAAGACCCTGGTGGAACTTTTATCTAGTTGATGCAAGTACAATACTATACAATCATTGAAAGGAATTGTCCATCTTGTATAGACTGTATATGCATCAGAATGGGGTAGACGACTAATTTTTATTTTAATGTCCGTCTGATAGATTATTTAAAAACATTAGACACGTATTTTTTCTTTTCTCACAGAAACGAATAGTTTCGAAGATATATTGATTTGAAATGTCGCGTGACGTCACTTCTCAGTACATTTTATACTAAGAAATGACGTTTTAGCCCCCACTCCTAAACTTTGATTCGTTTTATCTAAGTATTGTTTTATTATACGACAAAATAAAAAAATACGTGTCTAATATTTTTTCATTACCTAACTTACGGACTAATTATATTTTTAATTTTCATACCCTGTCATCATCCCCATTATCATTGACTTATTTCCTAGTAACTGTTTTAGTAGTAATGCCTGAAATAATAAAGCCAGCAACAACAAGGAAAGCAATAAGAATTATGTTGTTATGTAATGTGTTTGTATAGGAAAAGGTCATATTGTATATACTCAATATACTTTTGCATTGAAATAAATAAGTTTTCTAAATGCAATGTTGTTTATTATTATTTTTACATAACTTAAACAAGGTGAATTATGGATAAACAGTTTTCTAAATAAATAGGACTGAAATGGTCAATAATAAGAAGTCGTTTATTCCATTAACACCAAATATGCACACACCTTATCTTATAGATAACTATAAATTATTCTAATATAGATTATGATCGTATTGTATAAATAATTATACTAATTTATTGTTGTGGTTCATGTTGATGGTCATCCAATATACTGAGTACATCTAATTCTGCACTAGCAACTGCCCACCGGTGCTCTGTGATCTCTAGAGCTTCCCATTCGGCTTTGAATGCGGCTTTCGGGTCTTGAGGCATCGCCATAGCAGCACCAGACATTTGTTCTTGCATTATTTTAGACTGGTCTGCAGCTGTGGGCAGATAAGTTTATAAGTCAATATTGGTAGTAAGTGAAAAACACGACATTTCATTGTAATGCTTAATATATTAATTTTACTGTATTTTCTTACCATTATTCTCTCCTAAAACTAAAGCGTAGATGGTGCGTAAACCGAAGACATTGAGGAAGTACCATGAAGCAGAGGATACCCATGATGCATCCAAATAGGCCAGTTCTACTCCCCGCTGCAACATTGGCTTGAAACGAAGTGTCAGGGGGAAGGGTACCTTGGCTGTAAAATAGAAAAAAGATATTTGTGAGCTTTACCAAGTTATCATTATTCATTTTTAAATTGTATTTGCAATTGATACACAAATTGAATACAAAGTCAACTAAGTACGAAATGTTTTACCATGACTGGTATGAAATTATATCATGGTTTGTTTACTTGAATTGAAACAATGGTTCTGGGACATTTTACTATATTAGTTGGTTCCTATGCTGACAGTTAAGAGGAACAGATAACATTTTTATATTATATAGGTAAATAAAAATGAAATTCCGTTTGTTTCCTCTCGCTAAAACTTGAGGGCAGTTGAACCATTTTGGCTAATTTTAACCTTGAAATGTTTGTGAAAGTCCAGGGAAGGTATAAAAGTTAAGAAAAAGTTTTTTAGGCAGTATGAAGTTTGTTGTGTAAGCTAGTTAATTAAACAGGTACAACTTACTGGTAAGGAAACCACTGAACATCCAGTTGATCCAGCCTCCAATGACAATCATAGGCAATACATTGGTCACATTGCCTTTCAGCATGTCAGTCATCATGCCAGGGTCAGTCATGGGATTCTGAAAGGAATATAGATCTATTTACTCTTACAAAGTAGACTACAGCTATCATTGGATTTTATTACTTTGGTGAATGTGAAATGTATGTTTATGATTTATATCAGATACATAAATCACCCATTCAAGGATAGTTTACAATAATGAATTCTGAAATTGAAAACTTTTGTTCTAAAAAAAAAGTTTACTTATTATATCTTAGAAGTAAATAGTTGTATCACATTAGTGTCTACAAGTTATCAAACGTAAATAAACATGAAATAAATGTTTTTTTTATCCATTTTCGTTTACCTGAGAAGTGGCAGCTCTCTTCTGAACCTTGAAGTATCCAGTCTCTTCATTGTTGAACCAGTGACGGCGCATCGCAAACGACTGCCGTGGGATATATTTCCCGTTCTCACGCAGCAAACGAGCACGAATCATTACTTGACTATAATAAAAGAAAAATTATTAGATGAAACATTTTAAATGTTTGCTACTAGTGTGCTAAGTCTACTATTTCAACGAGTCTAGTATACAACATTTACTAACCCTAATTAAGTAATCGGAAATAGAAAATTAACAAACAGGAATATTCATGGAATGGAATGAGATTTACACTTGAGGTTATTTAATTACTAATGCAACTGTACACTGATTAATAGTTCATTTCAATAAATGCAGACTTATAGTACAGTGTAATAACATACCTGTCCTGGACCTGCAGCAGCTCAATTTTCTTCTGGGAGGATAGAATGATAGAAACATAGTGCCTCACAATACCAACCAAAAAAGTGATAATAACGATGGGAAGGAACACCCATAATCTAATTTTTGGATCTAAGAGTAGTTCCGCCATTATTATAAACTTTAAATTACAATAAGTATATTTCAAGAACTTAAAATATCTGAGGAAATACAGGAAAATTACAATTCAGAGCTGCTATAAATTGCATTGACGGCTCTTCAATGAAATGACATTTTTATAAAAGTTTGATAGATGTCAAACGTATGGATGTGTCAAATAGATAAGACGTGGACTGTCAATTTTTGACTTTGACTGATTCACTTGACAGTATTTTGACAGTCAAAGTGAAATATGTCAAAAAATTATGGGTCTATGGATTTCTACTTTCTATTCAAAACACATATTTTTTTTAGCATCTAATCTTTGGAATAAACTAAAGTTTCGCCAGAAAAATCAAACAACAAAAAGTTATGTCAATCAGAATCTGCTGTTCAAAAATCTTGACAACATTGAATCAAACTACTCACTACTCAGCAACTGTGTTCTTCGTAAAATAACATAAAACTTTTATGCAGTTTGCATTGTGTGCATTTTTTTAAAATACTCATCTATTTAAATTTACCGATATTTTCAAATTAATCACTTTTGCACTAAAAATGCCGCGCGGTAAAGTTAAACTAACAACAGCAGCGGCAAATGTTCGCTCTAAAAATACGAGCAATAAGCCTCAAGAAGCAGAAATAAATGAAACTATCAAAACAGAAAATATAGAAATCAAGATTGAAGCACCAGAGCCACCAGAAGTCACACTGAGTCCCAATAAAATAGACTTGAGTCAATTTAAATTTCAGAAGAAACCACACGTTAAAATCGAATATGAGAAGGATTCACCTGAGAAAGCTGAGAAAGAAGTAAATAAACATTTCATTTAAAATAAACCAACACCATTCATCCATAAATTATTTAACTATTTGCAACATGTTTTTGTAGGAAGCAAAGGGTTTATGGGAGCCACATAATTGGAAAGAGTTCCTGGTGAACTTGAGGAATATGAGATCCAACAATGATGCTCCGGTTGATACCATGGGCTGCCACTTAAGTGGAGACCAAAAAGCTGCTCCTGAGGTGTGTTAATGTCTTGAAATCACCTTCTCTTTAATGATTTTGTCATATAAAAAATACATTTTATACAGGGCTTACTGTGTTTGTAATGCAAAAATGTATTCTACATAATTATTATTGTCAAGTTACATCATAGTTGTTATTTTTATTCTAAGTCAAAGCATTTATTTCAATTAAACCATAGTTTGGTACTTTTGAAACGTCAACAAATACAAAATAAATAATAGTCTGTCAGTCAGTCCGTCAGTGAAACTATAAGCTAGGTGCTCATTCCAAAAAGTAGATTCGAATGGAGAAGAACGAGCAAGAAACTCCATTCATAATATTAGTTTTGTAAGTACCATAAATGAAAGAATACAATAATATCTCTATAATTTTAGGTGTACAGATATCAATGTCTGATATCACTGATGCTCTCTAGTCAGACAAAGGACCAAGTAACATTTGCAGCTATGGAGCGTCTCAGAGCCAGAGGGCTAACTGTAGACAATGTAATACAAATGAGTGATGATGAACTGGGCAAGCTGATTTATCCTGTAGGCTTTTGGAAGGTGAGATCATAATGTATTTGTGGTAACATATCAACGATTGAAAGACTAATCGACCTTAGCAAAAATGTTTTGTGATATTATTAAATATCTACATTATGACGAAGGAAAATTCACTGGTTTCGAACATGTATTTAACTCAATATTAATATTCATATTTTAAGTTGTATATATTAATCTGTCAAACACCAAGCGGTCACCGGTGACCGCGACCTATTGTTCTTTAATTGTGTCTATAAAACCGGTACTCGACGAGTTAATATTCGATTATCCAATATATAAGAAGGTTTTAGTATAATAACATTAAACAACTCAATATTGCAAAAAAAAAATTACTTAGATCAATTTATTAGCCTTCAACTGTTATTATGTAAAGAAGACTTGGGCAACTATATATCATATTAATATACATTTCACCAGGGCCGGATTACGCGAAAGCCCCGGGGCCTCCACAATAGAGACTTCGGAAAAAAAAATCTTTCAAATTTCAACTAGTAAACCTAGTAAACATCTTTTCTTTGATATTTTTTTTTTTCGCTTTTACCTTTACCTACAGCCTAAAGTACTTTATACATACATGATTATTTGATTTTCGAGCGTCCTCGAAATCTATCGAGAGTTCTCGATCGTTTTCGAGCGTCCTCGATTGTTTTCGAGCGTCCTCGAAATCTATAAGGCGTCCTCGATTGTTTTCGAGCGTCCTCGAAATCTATCGAGAGTCCTCGATCGTTTTCGAGCGTCCTCGAAATCTATCGGGCATCCTCGATCGTTTTCGAGCGTCCTCGATCGTTTTCGAGCGTCCTCGATCGTTTTCGAGCGTCCTCGAAATCTATCGGGCGTCCTCGAAATCTATCGAGCGTCCTCGAAATCAATCGAGCGTCCTCGATTGTTTTCGAGCGTCCTCGATTGTTTTCGAGCGTCCTCGAAATCTATCGAGAGTCCTCGATCGTTTTCGAGCGTCCTCGAAATCTATCGAGAGTCCTCGATCGTTTTCGAGCGTCCTCGAAATCTATCGGGCGTCCTCGATCGTTTTCGAGCATCCTCGATTGTTTTCGAGCGTCCTCGAAATCTATCGAGAGTTCTCGATTGTTTTCGAGCGTCCTCGAAATCTATAGGGCGTCCTCGATCGTTTTCGAGCATCCTCGATTGTTTTCGAGCGTCCTCGAAATCTATCGAGAGTTCTCGATCATTTTCGAGCGTCCTCGAAATCTATCGGGCGTCCTCGAAATCTATCGAGCGTCCTCGATCGTTTTCGAGCGTCCTCCATTGTTTTCGAGCGTTCTCAAAATCTATCGAGAGTCCTCGATCGTTTTCGAGCGTCCTCGATTGTTTTCGAGTGTCCTCGAAATCTATCGAGAATCTTCGATCGTTTTCGAGCGTCCTCGAAATCTATCGAGCGTCCTCGATCGTTTTCGAGCGTCCTCGAAATCAAGCGAGCGTCCTCGATCTCAATCTGGAAAATAATTTGGGGCAAGGGGGCCTCCACTCCTTTGTTGCCCCGAGGCCTCTGGACCCCTAAATCCGGCCCTGCATTTCACTTACATAATTAATTGTAATTCCACAATAAAATTGACTGTGTATCCACCATGTTGTAGAATTCTTCATTAGATTTTCGACTTATATAAAATCCTAGTTTTAATTCTATAAAATGAGATTGTGATAGCTTGATGTGCACTGTGCAGGCTTCTGAATATATTTTTATAACATTGCAGACTAAAGTTAAGTACATCAAGAAAACAACACAAACTTTGAAAGAACAGTATAATGGAGACATACCAGACTCTGTAGAAAAGTTGTGCAAGCTAACTGGTGTTGGACCTAAGATGGCACACATCTGCATGCTTGTAGCTTGGGATAAAGTCACTGGGATTGGTAAGTTCAGTCTTCAGACTCGATGAAAGTAATCAAGAAAATGTATACACTTTTCATGATATGCTCATTGTTCTCTACAGGTGTTGACACTCATGTTCATCGAATAAGCAACAGAATAGGCTGGGTAAAGAAACCAACTACTACACCAGAAGAAACTCGGAAAACCTTACAAACTTGGTTACCCTTTGATCTTTGGAGTGAAGTTAATCATCTTTTGGTAGGATTTGGTCAAACTATCTGCCTGCCCATAGGTCCCATGTGTCATGAATGCCTGAATAGAGACATATGTCCATCAAGTAATTTGGGTAGAAAGTCACCTAAGAAGACCCCAGTGAAGAAGGAAGCCAAAAGTGAAAATTCAGATGATGAATTTGAAGTTAAACCACCCAAAAGTAGAAAAGTCACACCAAGAAAGGAGTTAAATGATGAAACGGTGAAATCAGAGGCAAAGAAAGAAAACTTACATATTAAAAATGAAACAGCAAGTAAAGAAAACGAGAAAAAGTCTCCTCGAAAGAGGAAGGTAACACCAACAAAGGCAGATCAAATTAATATAGATGATATGAATGATTTTGAAGAAACATCCAATGTGGTTGTGAAAGCAGCACCTAAGAAAAAAGGAACTCCTAAAAAAACAAAAATAGATGATATTGAAGTTAAAAATGATAAGCTGACAGTTCAAAGTGCTCCTCAGAAGAAAAAAACTCCACAAAAGAAAACACTATTGACAAATAAAAATAGTGATGGAGACAGTGAAACTATTGTACAGAATAATAGTGATGAAAATATTGTGTTGCAAGAATTAACAACTAAAACTAAAAACACTAGAAGCAAGGCAGAAGGGACACGAAAGTCTGCAAGAAATAAAGCAGTTTCATAATAAAAACAAACAATTCAAAGGATAATCTTTTATTTAGTTTTTACAATTCAAGTTAGCTGTTTATTATTATAGTGTGTAATGTAAGTGCCTTGGTTTCATACAAAGGTATTTTGTATTGTTTTAAATGCAATGCCAGTTTGATTTTAAAGTAAAACAATCATAGAATAAGTTTGAAGATCAAGCCATAATTATGGGAATTTACCTCATTAGATTTAAACTGTTCTGTTAATCTATAATTTTGTTATGAAATAAATCAATGTTTTCTCCTACCAACTTTTTTCTTTGATTTATCTTTTCTTGGGTTATCCTTAGACTTTCCATGACCTTTCTTTGAATCAGCTTTTCCTCTCATATGTCCTTTCTTTTGTAATGACTTCTTTTTATTCTGAATTCTATCTAATTTGCTTTTCATTTGGAATACTTTACTTTTCTGTATTTTCTTGGTTGCCTGTTTCTTCAACATGCTTTTTATTTCTTTCTTTGTTTTTATTTTATTATCTTCATCTTCCTCACCTTCCGATTCCTCCTCCACACTTTCTTCATCTGAACCCATGCCAGGAACCACTGCTGCTCTTTCTGCATCTTTGTTTTTATTTTTATTCTTAGGTGTCTGTACTTTTTCTTTTGGTTTATTTTCACCTATCACTAAGTCCTTCTTCTGCAAAGTATCCGCTGAGAGTTCCACTATTTTAACGTTTACATCCTCGTCTTCATACTCTTCTTGTAAAAGTTGCTCTATGTCTGGAATAGGTCGGCTTGACACTACCAGCTTTTTGTACGATTCTTTATTCTGAAAGGGAGTTGAAAGTAAATTAAAGCAGCCTTGAGTAACCTTACCAAACATTATTACCTAAACATCACTGCAACAACACACTCATAAGAACACCACTACTAAGTGCAGTTACACCACACGTGCATTTTCGTACCTCTTGTTTTATCCGTTTCTTTTCTTGTTTTAAAAGTTGTTTCAATTCCTCCTGTGCCTTCTTTTTTCTTTCTAACTTCCTTTTGCGAAACCCACATAGGAAATCCCTGGAAATTAAAAAAAATAAATGTGTAAATCATGAGGGGCGACGAACTATAATAAAAAGATGATTAAAAAGTATCTTACTTTCTCTTAGATTCATCAAAAACTAAGTTGACTTTCTTTTTAGCGTCTTTATTTTTCCTTTTCCCCATTATTTATTGAGAATATTTATATTTATTATACAATAGGGCAGTAAACTTGTCTGATATTGTACCAAAACACAACATAACCTATAAAAGTGACAGTGACACGAGTGTCCGAGTGACATTATCAAGAATTCAAGAAATGAAATTCCGATTTACGTAGGTGCTATGTTTTTTTTTGTTATTGAAAATGTGTGATTTTCAAGAGCTAATATATCAATTAATAAGGATCATCACTTGGTTTTTAATATACTGAATAATCTGAAGACTGGTACCAGCGTTTTTCATGTTCATTTCCTTAGGTAACTGAGTAACCGAACTAGACTTATTATATACTTGTCCACCCGTGATAAGATTAAAAAATAATAACTATAAAAAATAAGGTGCAATACCAATAATGTTTATCACTTTATTTTTGGCAAACTATCAAGAATTTTTCAAATCCTTGCAGGCGATTGGTGGAGCGGCGCAATTAGTATTTTTTATCACCATATTTTCCACCAATCAGCGCACAAGTCCACAATAAAGTCGGACTCATCAGCAGCATGGCTGTCAGTATAAATTTGAAGCTTGAACGATGCGCTTCCTCTCGTCACGTTGGTTTTTTTTGTTTGTGCATTTTGACGAAAATGATATCGTGTGTGATTTTGTGTGTTATAAATTATGGAAACCCTTGGGTGCAGTGACCTGATATCTGCCTTGTTACGCAAGGTGAGTGTCGAAATGTGATTACAGTGTTGAAATATGGAAAGATGATAAATTCGTACGTTTCAATTGCGAGTTTAGCTAAAATTGTGGCACAGAAAAATCAATCGAGATCTCGCTACGTATGAGGCTTTCGTCACAATTTTAATTTGGGTAATTCAAGGTCATTTTCTGAGGTCTCTAAATGTGAGCGCGGGTGCATTAATTGGAGTAATCGATACGTTTGTGATACCACGGCCATATGTTAACATGCGTGAAAGGATAGTGTTTGAAACGTACCGTTACCATTCTTGTCGACAATGTTTTGATCTACACGATCGTGTGATTTCCGACGAACGTGGAATTTGTATGCCAGCGATAGGGAAAGTTGGTAGTATTCATATAATGACACTTACGAGCTGGCCAAAGTATCAATGACATACAACATAACGAAATTGTCTGCACTCATGAATGTTTGAGATACCAGAAATCAATGAAACAACAGTATTGATTTTTATTACACCTACTCGCCTCCCTCCCACTGGAAATTGGAATGGCATATTTTATTCTATTTATTATACTAGAGATTGGTTTATGTAGACTAGAGAAATATATTTGCAAATGATATGCAAATTACTTAACTGTTTCATCTTCTAATGCAGCAGTGGACTGGGGTTGATCTGAAAGTTTTGACAAACATTTGTAATATTTACAAATACACATTTGTCTTGTTTCATACATTAGTGTGAGTTGTGGGTGCCTACTTCATAATGCTAGATGATTGAATAGTCTTTAATAACACAAGACACTGATTAAAAGTTGTTATGCAAGATTATTATCATAGTTGAGTATTTTGGACAGACTTTAAAATTGAAGTGGATGAAGTATAAGGTTACACATTGCTGATAATGCATTTATCTGTTTACAATAGAGGTTCATTTATCTGAGGTTCTGAAATATTTTAAATTGTTTCTCCAATTTTTTTCCTTAAGTAAATAGGTCGCATTTGTTTTTGTTACAAACTGGCACGGAACTGTTGATAGGTAGTAATAATAAAGTATGAATTATTAGTTTTATCTGCATAATTCTTAATTAGAATGTATTTTATCTTTGAGTTATAAGATTTAAAGAGCAGCAAGCTTGTTACTGATAAAATACTGTGATGTAATAGTGAAGCTATAAAACAGATAACAATTTGTGAAGTCATAACTGGCTTCTATGTTTGAGTTGATAGTCTTTTAACAAAGTTAGTGCAATGTTAATATATCTAGATTATTTCGACATTTGTTTACATACTTTTTTAAATTTACTTTTACTGAATTATTTCACTTTGTCATCTGATAAAGGATGTCTTAGTTGAATAGGAGGTGTTCTAGGTATATGACGGTCTCTTTCAGTCTCAATGTCTTTTTTATTTTATCCATTTTATTCAATGAGAAATTGGATCACTTATTTTTTACGAATTCAGTCCTGTGAAATCTTCTGATATAAGAATCTTTTAGAATAAATGTTCCGTAAAACATTAACCCGTCTTATTTATTAATTAATTTATTTATTCTTTAATGTACATCATTTGTTTATGGCACATAAGGCCATTATTTATCTGATTTACTCAATAATTAAACATCTGTCACACATTGAAATATGTCTATTCCATATAATACTTACATGAAACTTGTTTTTACTTTTATTTATTTTGATTATTAGTAGAACAGTTGTGTTATTAAATGACCTAGGTATTTTTTATAGGAAAATATAATGTAAACAAAATTATAATTTCTTCTAACTATTCAATTTGACCTCAACCTGCACCTCTGACTGCATTAGACCTTTGACTGCACGGTTGGTGTGGTGGCTGTTTGTAAACTCACCCACCACACAAGAGAAAATCCTAGTTAGGCAACATTTTTTTAAAATAAAAATTTAATCTCAGACAAACTTCACAATTAATCGTGGATAACAATGTAAAGATTTTTTATAGGGTGTGCCCTTGTGACTTTCTAGATTAGATTACATAAATTGTATTGCAATCTTATGAATAAATATAGTTTTTGCATATCACACAAATGTAGGTGCTGTATATGTATGATAAGTGTCACCTCATTCGAATTTAGAATAATAATGGTTCCTACTCCAAATTAAAAAGATCATCTTTTCATTTCAATACTGCAATATCACATACCTACTTAATACCAGAAATACAGCTGCTGTAGAAATAAGACACTCATTCAGTTCAAGAGTGACCGTCACAGAGTTTAGGAAGCGTGTGCTTGCATGTATTTATCATAAAGGAAGGTTACTTTGAACAAAATTTTGAAAATAATGATTTTTTGAAATTGCCCATTTACCTTTACACTCTACTTATCATCAAGTTATTAATTTTATTTGAGAATTTTATAAATAATTTAATGTTTTTAGGTAGCTAATAAACCAAGAAAGTTATTTTAATAGTTTGTATGCTTAGTGTAATACATTATTTTTTAATAAATTCCGTTTTCTATTCACCAAATTAGTGAGTCAAAACAAAATTTGATACTAATTTACTTGCTATTTTAAAACGAATGATATTTCTGAAAGTATTAGTGGTAATTAGGGTTTATTGGTGTATTGGCAATAAATTAAAACTAAAATCACTTTAATCAAACTGGTATTTTATTATTTATTGATTTTTTTGTAGTTAAATCCGGATTTTTTTTTCACCAAAACCGAAAATGTTGAATATCTCACAAACTAGCCACTTTCGGACCAGGGACCTCAGGGCTAATTTTGTAGGAAATTAGATGTATTATCACCTCCCGAGAGGAATACGTCGAGTTACAAGTCACCCTGTATAGATTATAATATATGTCAGTTAATAAAGCTAATACCTACATAAAAAAATATTGCTTACCAATCAATTAAAAACGTTTAATTCAAAGACTGTAAAACAGTTCTTTAATACTAAATTAATTAGGTGTGTAGTATCTACATAAGTCGGTGGGTACAGAAATTACAACTATTATAAACAATCTAACATCTGACCTTAGGGCGTAGTCAGGCGAGAGGGGACGAATGCAACTGAGTAACTAGATCAAGGGCATTCTAAGGGAGTGTGAACTAGCCTTAAATGCGGCAATACTAGTTTTGGACCTATTGTACATAACAACATAAACGATAATACGATATCTATTCGCGTCTGTTACCGCCGCGCCGCCATATTAGCACAAAGTTTACAGAGTTGAACAGAATTGCAAATATTAGATAGCAGTGTTTGTTCCAGCGAGCACACGATCACGAATTTCGTGCGTAAAAATCTCTATAATGCGGAGATTTGAGCTCTCCAATGAGGATAAAAGTAGGATTAACTAAGAAAAGGTAGATTTGCATAGTCTCTGTAATAAACAACCGACCTTAAATAATAAAGAATCCGTAGTCCTAAAACTATGTTATTAAGTCGCTATTTCTATTTGTTGACACATTTTTAAGTAGTTAAAAAAGGTTTTTTAATCTTTACTTCACTACACTTTCGATTAAAGCGTTCACAGCGCATACCCATTACAGTGTACACGTCAGGTCACTGCGGGGTCTCCGTCGACTAGGTCAAGGCGTCTATTTCCGACACACCTACCTGCCAGACACGATTAGTATTTCGTGGGATCTGGCTTAACATTATCTAAAGAACTTTTACAGGTGTTTTAATCGATTTTACACAGAGTTCATATGTACTGAAAGCGGAGGCGGATTTAACGTAGAGAGCTATTTTTTTATTTATTTGGCGCTGCCGTCACTAAGGGCACTCGACGTCACAAGGACCTCGCGGGGTTGTGGCGCCCCTCCTGTCTGTACCCTGGAGCCCTACTGCCCTAGGCACATGCCTCGTTTAGGGATAATACAACTCTGAACTGAATTAAAGGTATATTCAACCTCACCTGTAATTATATCGTAACGTGCACCGTTTACAGAAGGTGACTTTGTCTGGGGGTCAGGTCTCGAACGTTGGTTCAACGCATATGGCACTGTAATGCGTAGTAGCTAGGTGACTTTTTATTCACATTCATTTTGATCGAGTGGGCGAATGTTGGTTTTCCAAATGCACGATAATATTAAAAAGACTTGCCGTCCGTAGTCATAACTTATCGATATTTTTGTGATGATCCAGTCTAAATTACCTACTACCTACGAGCGAGATCATTAATAATCGTACTAAATGGTAGTGTTATGACATGTCCTGAAAGATTGTGTCCATTGACGTGATAAGTTATTTCAATATTCATATAGGTAGGTGTAGGTAATCCTTTTTTCTCGATGCTCCAATTTAGCAACAACCTACATTTGCACGCAATGTTTAAACAACACTGATTTGAAGACTAATTCGTACATAGTTATGTAGATGTCTCTATAGTAATTCTCATTGACGTCTTTTCTTTGACGTCTTTTCTTTGACGTAACATTTGTCTTTTTTATTTTATAACTACATATAGGTATGGACTTATCAAATATTAGCAGCCTTATTACTCTATTTTCCCCTTTATTATGGCGAAATGTGTAATTTGACTTAACTAATTGAACTTTAGGTATTTGGTGAATGGACAAGGAAAATTAGTTTAATAGTGCGTTAGTCCCTACCTAACGAAAAAAATTAAATAGGTAGAGGTCCCCAACAAGCTATAAAATTGGAACCTATGAAGAAAGTCACATGAACACGTAGAGGAAGATAATTCTTCATTAATTTGTACCCAAATTAAGATTAGGAAAGCAAATAGCGCTGCTTAGTTTTACGGACTGCCGATCCCCTTAAATTACTTACATAATGTGTGTTACAAATACCTTTCATTAATCACTTTCATACTTGATTGCTTTGCCGACGAAGAACTTAACAAGCTTCTAATAAAATAATACAGTATAGTCGACAATACCGTTTTGGAGACTCAGTTGCCAAAGATGAAAAAAAAATATCAATTTTATTTCGATGTAATAATAATAACACTGTCACACACATTGTCCTTTGCAGAACCTTATATTATGCGGAAAAGTTACTTTCATAGGTTTTTGATTTCTACTAATGTGTTTTCAATTCGTCGTCCTTATGTATATTATCTGGTTTCTGGATTCTTTATCTCAATAGAAACATAGAATGTGTAATGGCTTTCCATACCAATCAGGAAGGAATTTCCTAATATGGAAGTAGACACTTATAAAGATTAAGTGAATCGTTTCCACGTTTCGACGTGTGAGGTAGTCACTGGGAAATGGCTTGTCATGTTGGATGGGTGTATTTATAGTTGATGTCATGCACATGAAACCAGTTTATAAACCTCTCAATGAAATTGAAATCAGCGCTGGCCTTTTTGAATTCATTACTTATTTCACACGTTTTTATATGTATAGTAGTAAATTGTGTACCACTTTTTTATTATTGGGGTTTTTCCAATAACTCAAGTGTAGCTGATGTTATTGTACACAAAGTATAAGCTTTTTACCAATAACTTAGCATACCTATTTGCGGCAAAGACAGCAACAAAGGAGCACTTAAGTGTAAACGCATAAAACGATGGTATGTCGTGAGAATGCGCGTTTATTTGTCGCATCCGGCCAATATATCGTGGACTAAACGACATTATTTCGATCCTCGTCTTCAACTAAAAATATCCTCAATGCTAACGTGGGATAACTAAGTGGCTAGACTAGAGGAAAAGAAATGTAATACTGACCAAGTAATTAAATCAGAAGGTAATTTGCTCTACTATCATGATGGCCGTAGTTTATTTGTATCAGATAATAACCATCATAAATCTGAGGATTAAAATGACTGGTGACCCAATATCACGTAGACGTAAATCTTAGCATGTGTTTGTATTAACATTTCTAGTACAGAAAGCGATAACGTGTTCGATAAATAATTGAAACGCATAAGTGGGTCGTAAGCAACGTGTTCGCTCACGATAACATGACCCCAAAACTGCTGACATTTTTGGTACCGATTATCTCTCATATCTCTGGAATCTTTCTAGTAAAATTTTCTAGCCATCGAAATGTTTATAAATAGTAAACAAGCACTTCACACGTGACTTTATTCGAGTAACTTACTTACCAAATAGGTAGGTGTGACTTTTCCTTAACGACGAATTGAACTTAGGTAGGTAGGTACTTTGTAAATCAATAGTTTTATGCAAAACAGTTTTTTCATGTATTATTAAATCTTGACTAGTTATTATTTCTGAATTCAACTCTTCTCGTATACTTCTAAATAATATGTTTTATTGCTAATACTATAATAATCGAGGACAGAAAAGAAAGGCGTTGTCGCAAAATTGGAGGAAGAGTAGGGCAGTTAGTGTGTCTGTAGAGTATGTAACAAAAAATGCATATGATTGTCAGAATACACAGATTAAACCTATTGTCCTGTCATTAAAAACTTATTTATTTTTGTATCACGCCCACATTATGTATTAAAAATAATACAAGAGACATGATTAACATACGAAACGTTAGCAGTCATAGTTTTTAACTATGCAACGTATACAACACAGACAGGGTTGTTATAAAGTTAATATGGTCAAAATTAAGCCAAAACATCGATCCAGGGTGCAGTCCAAATTGAAAGAGATGACCATCACGTGCCCACATTCCTAAAATTGTCCCCAGAAAGGTCGTACTTTTGCTACACATGTGCAACAAATGCATACGTTACAAATGGACCAATCAAAATTACCGGCCATTTTATATGTAGAGGGCTCTATCGATTTTGCAGGTTTCGTCTGCCTTATATACAACAAATAGGTCATGTATCAGGTCTGGGCCGCGCATTGATGCTTAGATTACCATAGAGTGAACATCGCTGTGTTCCATATTGAGAATTTATGATCGAGTTCTTCTTTCAATGTTATTAAATAGTGCTTTTCGATTGTTGCAGGAGTGGAATTATAAGTTGAGTTGATAACGACCCTACAGCATGACGTCTCGGTAAGTTTACCTTATTTTTGCTCAAAATATTCGCATCGTGTCAATACGATGAATCATGCATGGTGTGGTAGACTTTGATAACTCTGAAAGGATACATTTTGTACCTTTGTTTTAATTTATCATCAAATTGAATTGGAAATATTTTGTAATCATGTTGTAAACATGTGACCAGTAGCATTAACTTTTAAATATGATGTAAGTATGGTGAATACATAGTCGTTTCGTTTGTGCATTATTCATCGTGGTAAAATTATACACAAAACGGAAGATAGTGTTTTTCATATTAGGGTCAAACGCTTACCATTAGAGAAGGTAACTAATTTGCATCTAATTACCAAAATACGTAACCACAGTAAATGGCGATACGTATTTTTGAATTTTATTTTAATTTGAAGTGTTATTGAAATTGTTATTGCCGTTTCTCCCAGTTAGTGAAGTGTGACCTTTATTTATTTAATTCAGTTGTCCGCTTACCTCCAATACTAACTATAGCTATTATCATTTCATACGTTGTTTGTCTTTAAGGCCTGAATTTGTTCGGCTAAATTACCATTGTTTGTCATACAGATTTTCTGACGAACTTCCAAAGGGGGAGTTTTTATATTTCGTTTTTTTTTTGTCTCAAAGTGTAATAGCTATGCGCATATTTCGGTATAAAACATGTAAAACGAACGAAATAAATATTATTTTTTTTATTTTAAATTCAAAGAAGCAGAAGGACTCACTCAGCTCTTGTTATCTTTTGAACGAAGTATGAACACTAAACTTTCTATGATTATTTTTAGTTGTAGCTCTTATTACTGCTACGGTAGAGACGAGTCTTAAGTAAAATTTGTCGGCAAATTAAAGCGTGTCTATTAACTTTATGATGAGGAACTTGATCAAGTTTACTTATGTTTCTGTCGGCCCGTCTATTGGCCCTATTAAATTACCCATCTCTAAACTACAAATATCTACGGTATCTTAGGTTAATGGACGTAAAGTTGTGACGTGTAGTAGAAACTAGAAGATAGTTTGAAGTCATACCAAGTTTGACATAGTTTTATTGAAAAGGATAGAAGCATTAGACTCAAAACTTTAGAAAAATTAAGAGCCGAAATTTCAATCATTAGTTAATTCTTAACTAAGGAATAACTTTGAATATTTGACAATTCTTCCATAGGTACTAAAAGTTGTCAAATATGTCAATTTTATTCTGAAATTACGAATTAACTGACCACTTGACACTGGCAGTATAGTCGACAAGACCGTTTAGGAGACTCTTTTGCTAAAGAAGAAAAAAAAACGATTATTGAAAAAAAAAAAAACAGTCAGCCGAACATAGTACCTCCTCCTTTTTTTGAAGTCGGTAAAAATCGGCCCTAAGTATTATTTATTTATTGACTGAGAAAATTATCATAATATCAGATGATTATTAAGTTTACATAATTCGAGGACTAGTGTACACTAAGATCTCATAATTTAGCAAGTAGTTACTTAGCAATCTTATTTCATACACACATTACATAACCGTTTACTTGTTATTGTATGAAAGTGAACTATTTCTTATGCAATACTATGTTTTACGATATATTTTACGATCACACGCGTTTGTAGAACCATTAAAACATTTGTACGTATTATAAATAGTTTCCAATTCACACACTTTGTTATAAACGTATGAACCGAATACGAAATACTAACAATATTATTGTCCAGGCTGTGTATGACTGCTGCAAGTTTGACATTTGTGACATGTAATGTAATTAATTAATTAATAATTTGTAATTTCTATTAATAATAATTTTTGTAATTTGTACTTTTCTATTTTCTGTGTATAATTTTCTATGGGCATGTGCCTGAAATAAATGAATTTTATTTATTTTTATTTATTTATAAAAGACTAGCATTGCAGCACCCGCTCAGCTCGCTTTCAAATCGGCCAAGTAATTCCTGAGATTAATGCGTTCAAACAAACAAACAAACGAACAAACTCTTTAGCTTTATATAATAGTATAAGATTATTAATGACATAATAGTACGATAATTGATTACTTATACATATACTACTGAAAATATGCATAAAGATGTACTAAGTAAGTAGCTGTCATGTCTGCTTAGTGTTTTTTTTATTTAATTCAATAAAGTTAAGTGTTACAAAAATTGCGTGTTACTTCTTATTTTTATTGGACCCGTGTAGAGTAGTGTCAAGAAAAAGATATTTTTTGGGTGTTGACTGCTAAAATTGGACTACCAACCATACCAACTTGTCTGTAATTTCACTGTGATCTATCCCCAAATTAGCAGCAGTGTATCTGGTATTTTTTTTTTTTAAAAAAGCGTTGCCCCACATTAGGATTTTCTCCTGTGTCGTGGGTGCGTTTACAAACATACAAGTTCACATACACAATGGCACCCAGACCCGGAACAACAATTGGTGGATCACACAGTGTTGTTCCGTGCGGGAATCGAACCCGCGACACTTTGCACGGCAGCCGGTTGCCCAGCCACCGCACCAACCGTGCAGTCTAAAATGATTTTTAACCGACTTCAAAAAAAGGAGGAGGTTCTCAATTCGACCGTATATATGCTTTTTTTTTTTTTTATGTTTGTTCGCCGATATCTCCGTTGTTTGTAAACCGATTTTGAAAATTCTTTTTTTGTTAGAAAAGAGATAGTTCCAGAATGGTCCCATGATAAGGAAATCAGGATCTGATGATGGAAGACCAGGGAAACCGAGGGGAACTTTTAAAAATTATAGGGGTGGCTAGGGCATTTGTTAATTTTTTCATTAAGTATTAAAAACCACTACAATCTAATAAAGGTCTGGAGCCGATCTGATGATGGAGCCGAGAGCCAGTTGAGGGAACTCCTCAACGGTTAACAGTAGCTACCTTGTGTTTGGGTTTGATTAATTTGTATTGATGAGGACTTTACACCTGAGTGGGGTGTAATTGTCAATAAGGGTCTGATGATGAAGTAGTACGATAGTTGAGGGAACTCCTTAACGGTTAACAGTAGTTACTTTGTGTTTGGGTTTGATTAATTTGTATTAATGAGGACTTTACACCTGAGTGGGGTGTAATTGTCAATAAGGGTCTGATGATGAAGTAGTACGATAGTTGAGGGAACTCCTCAACGGTTAACAATACTTTGTTTGGGTTTGATTAATTTGTATTAATGAGGACTTTACACCTGAGTGGGGTGTAATTGACAATAAGGGTCTGATGATGAAGTAGTACGATAGTTAAGGGAACTCCTCAAAGGTTAACACTAGCTACTTTGTGTTTGGGTTTGATTAATTTGTATTGATGAGGACTTTACACGTGAGTGGGGTGTAATTGTCAATAAGGGTCTGATGATGAAGTAGTACGATAGTTGAGGGAACTCCTCAACGGTAAACACTAGCTACCTTGTGTTTGGGTTTGATTAATTTGTATTGATGAGGACTTTACACCTGAGTGGGGTGTAATTGTCAATAAGGGTCTGATGATGAAGTAGTACGATAGTTAAGAGAACTCCTCAAAGGTTAACACTAGCTACTTTGTGTTTGGGTTTGATTAATTTGTATTGATGAGGACTTTACACGTGAGTGGGGTGTAATTGTCAATAAGGGTCTGATGATGAAGTAGTACGATAGTTGAGGGAACTCCTCAACGGTAAACACTAGCTACCTTGTGTTTGGGTTTGATTAATTTGTATTGATGAGGACTTTACACGTGAGTGGGGTGTAATTGTCAATAAGGGTCTGATGATGAAGTAGTACGATAGTTAAGGGAACTCCTCAAAGGTTAACACTAGCTACTTTGTGTTTGGGTTTGATTAATTTGTATTGATGAGGACTTTACACGTGAGTGGGGTGTAATTGTCAATAAGGGTCTGATGATGAAGTAGTACGATAGTTGAGGGAACTCCTCAACGGTTAACAGTAGCTACCTTGTGTTTGGGTTTGATTAATTTGTATTGATGAGGTCTTTACACCTGAGTGGGGTGTAATTGTCAATAAGGGTCTGATGATGAAGTAGTACGATAGTTGATTGAACTCCTCAAAGGTTAACACTAGCTACCTTGTGTTTGGGTTTGATTAATTTGTATTGATGAGGACTTTACACCTAGATGGGGGGAGGGAGGGTGATGGTCATTAAAGATCCAATGACGAAGTAGTATGATAGCTAAGGGACTCCTCAATGGTTAAGAGTACCCACCCAGTGTTTGAACTTGCATAATTTGTATTGATGAAAACTTTGCATCCATGTGGGTTTTGTATAATATAATATATCAAAGTACTAAACTAAAAAGTATAAAATAAAATAAAAAAACTGCGTTTAAAAAAACCGACTTCAAAAACAAATGACAAACAAAAAGTAAAAACTAAAAAGGAAAAAAAAACTATTAGTGGTCATACGTAGTGGTCATACGTATTAGTGGCTATAGCTTACACACCCACTGATAGGTTAGAAGTCGGTGCCACAAACTCACAATAAAATATAAAGTAGACAAAAGTCACAGCTGGTATAATCCATAATAAAATTATAAACAGCTCAATACTGTTAGGTATCTATTAAGGTTTTAATGAATAATTTTGTTTAAAACTTGTGGCACCGACTTCTAACCTATCAGTGGGTGTGTAAGCTATAGCCACTAATACGTATGACCACTACGTATGACCACTAATAGTTTTTTTTTCCTTTTTAGTTTTTACTTTTTGTTTGTCATTTGTTTTTGAAGTCGGTTTTTTTAAACGCAGTTTTTTTATTTTACAAATAAAAAATCAGTTACTCCTTAAGCTCTGAGGTACTCAACAAAATCTATTATAATACGTGTTACACAATCAAAAACACATGTAAATAAAGGTGTATTGACCTTTTAAAATATGTCCAACATATTACCATGTTTTTCAGTTTAATATTTCACGCTTTAATATATCATTATTTATAAAAAAAAAGTAGGTACGCAATGAGGTTTTACATTTTTTTCTTCAATTAATAATACCAAATACCTATCAAGACTTCCCAAGCTGATTGACGTTTTTATTTATAGTTTACAAGCTGTGAATGAATTATAATTGTTGACTTTACAAAATATATTTGATCGGAGGCCCAATTACTCCAATCTCCCCGAATCCCCAAGAATTTGCCAAGTCATATACTGGAAAAGGCCGGCAATTCACTTGTAACGCCTCTGGTGTTCCTTGTGTCCATGGGGACGATTACTTACCATCAGATGACCCGTCTGCTTGTTTGCCAGCTTATCCCATAAAAAAACGGTTTGTTGTACTTAGTAAGCCTGTATCCTCGTGTTCGTACTACGTGGAATTGTGCATGTTACAGTATGTTTGCTTTGCACATACGCATCCATACATGCAGCATAGTGTACATAATATGTTTGTTTATCCCTCGCGCCTGCAAATTTGTTAGAACAGGTGGAATGTGTAACACTTTTTTAACAATACACTATGTAATTTGAAGTTAACAGTGTTGTATAAATACTAATTAGACCAAGTAATTATCTCTTTGGTAGTTTTTATTTCAGTAAATTGTTTTCTATTCATGTCATTAGATCAGTATTGTAAGCGAACTAGAAGTTATTGCAAATTAGTTATTTGTTTTGTAAAATTAACGGTTAGTTATTTGTTTTGTAAAATTAACGGTCTCTTGAAAACTAAATTGGTTACTTTAAAAATCTCAATGAATATGAATACATCATTGTGTGTAATGTAATGAATGACGCAAGATTTTATAAAAACTTGCGTCGCGAAGTCGTGTAAAAAATAGAATACGTATCTGCTGTGATTATGGTGATTGGCGTTTAACAATAACAACTGTTTTGGCGGACGTGACGTACAACTTACGGTATTATAGAACAAAGTGTAACGGATTTCGTACCATAAAGTTACTACAGAAGTACATAACAGACATTAATATTGTTAAAATAAGACGTCTTCTATAATCAGGCTTAAATGTCTATAATTCTGTGTGCAATATGTCTACCTTAAAAGGCCGGTCTCATTAACATCTACCGTATGTTAGATGTTAGTGAGATCGGTCAGGAGGCCATTGTCGTAAAAAGCACGAAACGCACAAAAAACTATTACTTAACCTCTCATCATCTACTTACACTTCAAATTCTGCTTGCCTAATAAGTAGATCTAGATACAAAAAATGTTATTAGATCTAGAACTAGACTAGACAAGTATTTCATAACATTTCCGATGATGAAGCCTTCTTGAATTAATTAAGAAATTGTAAGAACGCTACTTTCTAAATGTAGAGTAAAAATAACCTACGGAATGCTGTTAGGCTTTAGATATCGACCTTTTCTTTTGTGTTGTGGTTCTTAACCTTATTTGATAAACTATATTTCGTGATTTGGGTTCAAGAATCCTAGAACTCGTTTGCATAATCGGCATTCTCGTATACCGAGTCCAGTAACTGATTAATTACGATATTGATTGTAATACAATATTAATGTACCAGGTTAGACCGTCTGTTCGTCCTCCTGGAGGCGGGCGCTGGGCAAGCGACCCGTCGCGCAGCAGCCAGACAGCTTGGCGAGGTGCAGAAGGCCCACCCTGAAGAACTGCACCGACTGCTCGGCAGGCTTATGACGCATCTGCGGTCGCCTGCCTGGGAGACAAGAGTAGCAGCCGCACAGGTAACTATTACATTACATATTAATTATTATATCTTTGTCACAAACTTAGAATTGGAAACGTGACATTTACCAACATTCAATTGAATTTCGCTACTGTTTCAAGTGATGAAGGATATTCTCTCTTTCACGAATGGTCATGGCGCTCCCGTTTTAAATGGCAGTTAGAAATCTTACATTTTTGTAGCTGTAAATATGTGGATGTTTATCTGGAAATGTAACCTTTCACCAGATGCAAATCCGCATTCGTCTTAACTTGGAAATAAGTGTAATTAACAAGTTTTAAGACATCTGTCATCTTGGTCTAGCGGTTGTATAACTCAATTATGACGAGCTTATCATTTCCTTGATGTTTATCTTAAACGTTTTCCAGATAAATCTAAATATAAGTACTAGTGCTTAAACTTATTTCAGTACCTAAGCTGCAACCAGCTTGCATACGACTGCTAAGTCTACACCTACTTTTCCTTGTTTGTATTATGATACTCATAAACGACAGATTTATGAGTAAACCACAGTCTGTCTAAAGATAGACGCCATTCCTTTGTTATGACACGTGGACCGCAATGAACTTCCTTAGGCTGGCCACACTTTGAATTTTGCTATACAACGAAACTAGTTTGATGAATAATCGATGTGAATTCGTTCGTAAATGGATTACTATCAACTGCCTTTTCCTAATATTAACCCAGGTCATGATGTGTCAAAATGAATCAAAATCGGCTCAGTAGTTTTTGCGTAAAACGTAATATAATATTATGAATCTATCATCAACAGTACATATCAGAATTTATTTATAGCAGTAAATTATGGAAGAATTATGTAGAATATTATAATAGAACGTACTCGTATCAAACAGGTTTAACTTAATGATCCGACAAAATTATTTCATGCGTGTATAATACATGTCGTTGTTCTTGTACATTGTGTTGACAAGACTATAGGTGCGTGGTAGATTTATTGTGACTTAAAACTCACTTACTTGTCTGCTCATTCACGTGGAAATTTTTGTTATATCTACTGGGAAAATCCTTAGTTTATTTAGAGATTTATTTACAGTTCTTCTATGTAGGGAAATATGTAATAGGATTAACGCAATGCAACCGATGAAAGGCCTCTTTTAACTTGATAACGCACATAACTTGATAACTAATGGTGTTATTTCGAAATCTCCAAGTTTCCTCATAGCGTGATTCATTCTTGTCACACAGGTGTTCAATATGAATTTATGAGTGGCTACAATATTTTATAGTTTTCCGATAATTTTGGCCATTTGCTCAAACTATCAAGACAGACAACACAAGATGAAGCGACCCTGTGTCACCTTCTAACATACAATTTTAGACTGCATGGGTGGTTAACTAGCAAAATTTGTATTTTACGGTCGATTTGTATTCATGACGAGTCTCTGCATAGACGAATTGCTTACAGATGTTATTGTCATGTTTTGTTGACGAGCAACTGTATTGTTATACCGTAATTGGCTACATTACATCGCTTGAAACGATTGAGAAATTAATTTGCCAGTCATATTTATGTGTCTATGCGTCGATGCGCAGAAGCCATCAGTAGATAATACTGCTCTGTGCTGTCTGCAATTTTTCTCTTGCAAGCATTTATAGCCTTCTATAAAAACTCTCATAAAGGTGACATTTTTCCCAGTCTCTGCGAATGTTTGCAATTCTCTGAGGCATTATCGTAATCGATCTTCAATTTGCTTCACTTTTGCTCCTCACCGCATACACTTGTCGCCTTGAAATCTTGAACGTATTGCAATAAGTTATGCTTTTAATATCTTGAGAAAATAACACTTTCAAATACTCTAACACTTAGATTTCTACTTTTTAGTCTCTAAAGTGCGCTCCTATGAGTAAAAGCCCACAAAAAAAATACAAAAGAGTTTTCATATTTTATTTCGAATTCAATCCTTATATTAGTAGTCCTTGACCTGTTGCTATGGTGTGGTTTGAATAAAAGAGCCTTCTGAATGAATTGAAAACTCCACAAACAAAATGACGACGAACCCGTTACGAACAGTTACTAATTACTATGCACGTTTTAAATTATTATCAAAGAATATATTATATTCATATAAATCACTTAACGATTCGATTACTGCATTTAAGGTAAAGTTTTATAATTAGTATATAGGATGAACTGCATTACAGTCGGTATTTCCACTCGTTATCTTTTAAAAATAACTTATCAGTTCCAGTGTATCGAACCGTTTCATCAGATTGTGGCAAGGTCACGATTTGTACTTATATGTTAAGTCCCTGGTCGCATCGAAAAAATACAGACCTTAAACATTACATTAAACATCTACGGACATATCTTATCTTAAACCCCAATTTTACTCATTTTGTCTCTACTACGGTCGCTACGACTTTGTTAGTTCCACAACAATCTCTTTAGATTTATCTTCACTAAATGTCTGATTCTGCAGTTTAGTTAAGAGCCCTAGCTTGGGTTAAGTGCGTGTCACATAATGTACCTCATCTCTCTTCTCCTAAGTCATTGTGTGACAGTTCAAACATCGCGAATACGGTCTACTCATGCATGTATTATCAGCGGTGCCTTGAACCGTTCCGTTTACTTTGTAAACATAGATAAAAGCTGCGTTCAGACCGTTTAAATATTATGATTTGTGTTGAAATTCACTTGCACTCAAAATCAACAATGTTAGTGACACTTGTACCCAGTTTCTTAAGTCGTTGTAACATTTTTGGTAAGTTACTTTGATATCTTTGCTGCAGTTTACATTGTTCGTTATGCAGTTAAGAATGGCGATTGGCGATTTTACTTGTTATGTAGTCGGTCTTTTATGGCGGTGACAATGACAACTGAAGATGCCATCTGAAACAATATAACAACAAAAATTATGTGGTGTTCCGCTGATGTTAATAACATCTTTGTATTAATGTTTAGAGTGGTCAACCAAATTTTCCATGTAGCTATACACTCATTCTGATAGAACATGTTCCCAAATTGTGTACAATTCCATAGATAAAAAAGGTCTTTGGTCTTTACCTAATTTACAACTTTTTGCTATCTAAAGATAGGCAAAGTGTACTTTGTAAATAAAGCTATTTTGTATTTACTTAATAGTTGGCATAATATCCTTCGTTTGTCTCTTAAATTACGACGCATACGCATCTAACCTTACCTTATTTTGTAACGAAAAATAAACTGAATTTAGTTCTAGACTTAATTCCTAGAAATATGCTATGAATGTTATAATTAATTAAAGTCAGTGTTTTAGATATTTCTTTTTGTTATTTCATCAGAAGCAATCAGGTAGTTTTCCGCAGAAAAAAGATGATGACGCATTTTGTTCTATGCGTATTTACCTATCTCGTTTCTGGTAGCCTTTATTAAGTACGTTTCAAATTAAATGCTCTTAGAAGTTTCTAGATCTTAACGATTAGGATATTATTGCGTAACAATGTAACGTTAATTGCCTCCTTTTTAAACAAATATAGAAAAGCAACAACAATTTAATATTCCTCCGTAGAGAAAGCGTGGTTTTTAATTTTATAAATATTCTGTGATTCCTAATGTTGCTTAGAATTTTTTTTATTAGTATAATTTAAACGTAATATATTCATATATTACTAAGCTGTTTTAGTGCATTTAAGCGATTATCTATGCAGTATTTAATTGTTTGTTGGCTTATGGTAGATTTTAAGAAAGTTTTAGTAAATAAAAAATGTTGTATAGTCCAGAAAACTTCACAATATCCTTATTTTTATTGTCATACCAAAGTAGTTGTTCTACAAACATGATAATAAAATTGGTTGCATGAAATCACTATGATTGACCTTCCGCAATCCCTACAGACCTTGCAAACTGCAACTCTATTATAATATTATGGTTTAATGTTGTGTAAAATTGTTGCAAATTTTGCCAAATACTCAATCATCAAACATGCTAGTAGATCCGGTCGTTCGTTTACCGGCTTATACCATAAAAACAAAAATGTTAGTTGGGTTTCGTACTTAGTTTTATTTCCATAATGGTTCACGTATAGCCACTGAAATCCATCCTGGATGTTTGTCCCATGTCCTTATTATTCTAAATAAGTAGAGTAATATCTTATATTAGTGTTTAAAATAACTAACTTAACTGCTTGGCCATGATTTGCACTAATCTGTATTGTAACAGTTCTGATTTTGGTATCCACTTTCACATTCATGATAATATGAAGTAGTTGTTGATCTCCAATAGCTACAATAGTAAAGGATTACACTGTTTATCTCTCTGGTATAATGTCTTTAACCAAGAGAATGCTGTCAGACTAGTAACATATTCTACAATTATGCGTTTCACATGTTTATCTAATTTTATTCATGTACTACTATAAGTTATTGGCAATGGAAACTTACCCGGCGTGCAAGAGTGAGCAATAAGAAAAATGTTAGGCCTTCTCTATCGTGTGTGTTTCAGTTTATTATTTATTGTGTAGCCTTTATAGCTCGTATTCAATGTGAAAACGATCGATTTCATATCATTGTATCTGTTTTTATAGCTCTGATTCATAGAACAAAGACTTGAACTAAACGGGCTCTTATGATGAATGGCATGTCTTATTTTACGGGACAAACTGGGTACTAGATAATTACTAAACATTTTATTAAGTAATCTTATTCTACACTCTCATCGTTTAGCTATTTTCGTTACTAAAAATAATATTAATTGTTTTGTTTACATAACATAACATCACGCCTTTTATCCCCGAAGGAGTAGGTGCACATTATGGCACTGTACAGTACAATGTAACCACTTGTCACTATTTATGTTATGAGTCCCATGTAATAGGGGGCGAGCCTATTGCCATATATCATTGTTTTGTTTGGTAACATTATAACAAATCAAGATTTGAACTTGACCCTTGCGGGTTGACGAAAACTTGATGGCTTGAAATGTCGGTAGAGTATACTCTCTTTAATGATATAAAAGAAAATATAACTAACTAGCTGAAACAACAAACTTCGTATCGCCTTAAAAAAAAAATCTCACCTTTCAAACCTTCCCTGGACTTCCACGAACATTTAGGCAAGGCAAAAATTAGCCAAATCGGTTCCGTTGTTCTCGATTTTTAGCGAGACTAACGAACGGAAATTCATTTTTATTTATATAGATTACATGGCAAGCAATTCTCAATAGAAATGTCCTTGTGTCATTAACTTCATTTCAGGCATAGAATAGAAATTTCATGCGGAATCGCCGTGCGCTTGTTATCACTAAGTTAAATAAAACAACATGTACCTAACAATTGGAGAATAGTGCTAAATACTAAACGTCTATCATTTATTCCAACTTTTCTTTTTCTTCGTTTGAAGTACTCGCAAAACATCCTAGAGTTTACAAAAAACCTATAGTCCGCAAAACAACCCCTAGGAAGTTTTGCGGGATTGGTTGCAAAGACATAAAAATAAAAACTGCGTTTTAAAAACCGACTTCAAAAAACCAAACAAACCAAATAACAAACAAAAAGTCAAAACTAAAAAGATAAAAATACCTTTCATTAGTACTGATAGGTTACCCACCCAATTTGGAAACTTATTTGAAAACAGTGTAGGTTTTAAGAATGATAAATATTCTAGAGCTGTATTCGCAACGATATGCCCCCTAAATAGGTAAGGTCGGAAGCAGTACGATTTATATTCAGACAACTTTAGTGACAGATTTTTCTGCAGATACTATTGTAATGCAGAAAAGGCAAGCATAATGGATATGTAGATGGTTTAAAAGATGTACTTGAGGACATTGTGTGGTAAATAATATATATAATATGCAGATTATTTGGATCATAAGTCAGTACGTGGTCCTTGCTTGACTTTGCCCCGTAGCACTGCATCAGCCTTGATTTCTTTTGGCAACCATACTGTTTTTTACTTGTAACCTGACTAAGACAATATTTATCTAATTGTTGCTAAGCGTATCTGTAGTGATGTTATATGATAAGATGCTCGCAATCCGGGAGTTCTACGTACGACTAAGTAGACGTCGGCAAGTTGTAGAAACACTGTTATGAAATGAAAGCAACTAGCATTTCCTGATAGAAAACCACTACTAACCTAACAAATCGAATTACTTTGTATCTGATCTTGTGTACTTAACATCTTCTTCATTTCACAGGCAGTGGAGTCCATCCTTGCGAATGTACCAGAATGGCACCCAACACCGTTCACGGGCAAGAAAGGTCAGTAATCGAACATGATAGTACGTCTTGTGTTTAGACAACATTGACGGCGACCTCCAGACATGGTATTCTTTAATTAGGCTTCGGTCATACAGTCATACCGTCTCGCAGGAACAATGGCGGTGTACCTATTAAGCTAATTAGGTTTTTATGTTTATGTCGCCATGATCTTCAAATGATTTAGCTTAGACTTAGTCTGGAATAATCTAACATTCTTCTAACATTAATGTTAGTTAAACAGTAGGATAATGTGATGGAGACGTTAATAATGGTCGGTAGACTAGACAGCTTTATATGGACTCGATATTGTGTCTACATCCTATAGTACTATAAGCATGATTGGTTAATACATTAACTCGTCGAGTACCGGTTTTATAGACACAATTAAAGAACAATAGGTCGCGGTCACCGGTGACCGCTTGGTGTTTGACAGATTAATACATATATAACATAAGTAATATGATTCACCGAAGCATAAATAAACAGTTTTATTTAGCTTATTCAGTTACCGTGAGTTGTTATAAAATATTTTCCCAAGAGCAACAGAATGATAGATTTAGGTTTACAAAACTATTAGAAAGAAAATGTAGAGGTCAAACTACTGACGCAAAACAAGTTAATAATATGAGGCAATGCTGAAAAAATAAGCCGTTACCAGCTAATAATTAGTCTAATGCGACAAGGTGACTCGTGTATATTACGTAATTATAGACGGGACATAGGTTTTTTCTTTACAAATTAATTAAAACTGACGTTATCTTTGCAACTTACTTAGTTGCTTAACAAATTGAAGGAAATTGCGACTAACGGACTTCAAATTGTTACACGGCTTGCATTAACTTAATTCTGATATGCATAATGATTGTACTGTAATTGGTTTCCAACCGTTGTAACCAGTAATTTAAATAAATAAAAATAAATAAATATTTTTATAAGTAACTAACTCTACTATTGCATTATACCACCATTATACACATGGTTTTAGAAAGAGTTCGGTTAAAAGAGTTAAGTTAGCAGCTAATGAACTAAGAATAGGTACTATTTTCGCCAGTGGCGCCAACCAGAGAAAACTAAAAATATAAGTTTTATTTGAAATGCTAACTAATTTACATCTTCCGACTGAAATAGTACTTCAGTAAAGCATTATTATTTTAGTCTGACAAGCAATTAACATTATATACTAAAATTATATCAACTACAATGCTTGTAAATTTCTGTAAGACGAGCGAAACAATACCTCATTAATCTCAATTTGAAGTACAATGATGGGGCATAATAATAACTGTAATGAGTAACAATTCTAAATTTATTTTCACGAAAGTCGCAAACTATTGTGTCTTGTCTCTTTCCAATTAGTTCGAGGTCAAGTCGACAGTATTGTCCGGTTTTCTGTTCTTAATCCTACGTGCTAATCTAACGCCTTATCTCCCATTATATATTTTGTGGGCACACAAAAATCTAAATAAATAACTAGAGCACCTTGTCAGAATTCCTTGTGTGTCATACTGTCAACATAATATTGGGTTACTGATTTAACTGACATTCTGTGATCTCTCGACGTGTCCCCCAAGCAATTATTTGTCCGACTTCAAAAGTTTCACAAATATCAATGTCGAATTACGTTTATTCTGGAATCTTTCGGCATTATGATATAGGCATCTTGTATCAAGAATGTTTAAACCGTCCAATCTCTTGACAAATACGCGGTACTTGATACAAAGAGCTATTCATAGGCGGCCATCATCAATTACTTGATATTATTCACTTAGTACTGGGGCTTGTTAGTTTGTGACACAGATATAAATAATGAGCAGCGTAACTGTTGCTCTATGGAGTTTAAGATAAAGTAAGATGACTCAGGCCCTGTCTTAATCTTCAGGTCAAAAGGGCAAAGGGCTAAAAGTAGTCATGGTTCGTCTGAGGTCAAAATTAAGTAATTGCTCTTTGCTTTATCATAATTCTTTGTAAGTAACTTGACATTATTAACCCTCATGCCCTGTGCTGCTCTTTGGCTTAAAGACAATTAGGTAATATTATCTAAGCATCTTCGTTTTTACCATTATCAGTTTCTTAATGGTTTAAGTTAGCTTTGAAATATATTTCCGAACATACTGTTTATTCTGATTCTTATTTAAAGAATGTTGCATGGTCAATGTCCGCCCTTGATTCTTGCCACTCATTCAAATCAATGTATTCAAATTGCCTATTACGACATCCGTTTGTTCCCTTACAGTATTGTTTACTTATACATAAGATTATTGAGTCACAACTACATACACATTATTGTTTTATATTCATTCCTGCTCTCGTCCGGGCCAGTCCTGGTATCGCGAAATTATGCGTCTTACTTAAACTGTCCTGGCTCGACCGTGGCCCTGCTTTATAATTAACTCACAAAACTCTTTAGTTTGAAACACTGAGAGATTGAGACCTTTCTTGTGAATGAATCTCTGTCCAATATACGTATAATTTTGCAGTTACTAAGACAAACTAGATGTCCCGTTTTAGCACGTTGGCTTAGAATTTGTAAACAATGCTTATGCACCACCATGATAACAAACGGATCTGTACTGTGATGAACTGTTTATTTGTCCTTTATCTGTCAAGTTAAATCTTGTAGATTAGTATTGACGTAATAGTACATATCGAGGCGTGAACATGTTTATTTTAAAAAATTGTCTAATCATAGATCCGCCGACTGCAAGTCATCTGATGAAATGATAGTTACAAACGTGTAATATCTTCTTTAAGGTCTTTTTGCAGTTTTGCTATATCATCGATTTCGTGGTTATTTTGCACCTATTTTAAATAAGGCATCTTCAGATGTTTAGTGTTCCAAGTAACTTCTAGCAGTCATTTTTTTGACAGTAGGTATCACACCGAAATACCACAAGTTATACATATACCTAGTAATAATATAATTTTAAGCACACAGGAGTAAACAACTCTGTTAATGTAAATGTGTAATATTAATAACTTATTAATGAAAATGCATAGCAGTAATTCTGTATTATTTTTTATTATAATACAGAATATAAATTATTTCTTAAAATAAATCGCCTTCATTTTGAAAACAGGAAAAGGTCAACTCACGATATCGACTGCAGACAGACTTCCTCGCTGTTGATAACGAATTATATTTTAATGTTACCAGCCATGTTTTTATGTAGGTCATTTTCGGTCAAATACTTCTGCTGCGGAATATTCTGGAATCCTCTAAAGTCATAGCAAGTCTGTGGAAGGTTTAGTCTTTCTTTAGTAATAAGGCCGTCGCAAGTAAACTGATAAATGCTAATGCTTGCGCACCTACAACTACTATAGTTCCTACCAGAGTAGGACAAGTTAAAATCTAACTACTGATTACTATTATATTATATTTTTACGTGTACTTAAGGCTAATTTGAATGATTAGCCCAATTAAAATATTTTTATTTTAGTTGATTCGCAAATAATTCAAATTGAGTCGAAGTTGTGAAACTTAACCACATTACAATGTTTATTTAATTGCAAAATATTAGTCTGAAAAGACAAATAATCAGTGTCTATTACTGATTTTTCTATAGAGATTCCATCTAATACAGATTCAAGTAATCAAATTAATAACTAATTCATGTTATTAGATTACTTTACAGCTTCATTGAAAATTCGTCGCTTTGAGGGTGAGACAGTCCTTTTCACCGCTCTTTTTACCTCAAGGTGGATGGCTTATTGAGGATGTTCCACCTAGTCTTTAAAACAATTTAAATACCACTAGCAACAGCTAAGTGCTAAAGTATGTCGTGAAGTAGTTGGAGCAAAAATACCATAACTGTAAATGTTACTTAACCGTGCGATAGGTCACGGAGCTGACGAGCTTTTCGACAACAATTTTATTCATTTACTTTCTTTGACATCGATGAGCTTGCCTTGAAATTCCTTTTAGACGGGTTTATTTTATAAGCCATACTTTTTTGGAATAAAACGCACTTGTGACTTCTCTGAAACAAGACGGCGTCCGGCGCTCTGATTGGTTGGTTCATTGGAGCCGGCCAATCACAGCGCCGAACGCGTACTCGTTACGATTACTTTGAACGTAAAAGAAATTCGTACTAAGGCCTCTGGTAGTGCAATAGGCAGCGCTGACAGTTTACCGTGATCCGACTGCTCGCTTGCCTCTTATTCCGTACAATAAATGGAACTGTCACTTACAATATGGTCCTTTAACTTCTACAGCGGCTTGTATTACAAGCTTCTAATATCTTGTCTTATACTACTAGTGTGTCAGCACGAGTTGATAAGCAATTGCTTTTGCATTACTTGTTGATAGCGACTAGTGTCTAGTTGTCTAGGGCCTAGATACACGATTCCAGTTCTAGTAGTCGACATTCAATAAGCCTTTCCTTTATACAACTTTTAAGGCGTGGTGCCCGAGTGTTTTTATTTAGATACCAGCCTCCATGGAATTATGTTGGAAATTCCACCCATATAAATGCGAAAGTGGATACATTCAGGTATTAAAATAAGTAAGTTTGGTGAAGTATCAAGTTTAACAAGGTTTTCTTTTAAGTTTTGGTTTTGATAGAATTGTCATGCTTATTAATAGTTAATAGTACTGTCGAAAAAAGACTTATCATCATTTCTACTTTTTCGTACCTTACCTTTTTTAGAGTTTATTGTTGTTTGAATTAATCACTTTCACAATGGTAAGACGAAAATATATTAGTGCATACATTTTGTAGCCGATTTGTTGCCATATAAGCGCTGTTTTTAATACATTACCTGTGTGTGGTACTGGTGGCATACGCCGTTAATGTCCACTTTACATACTAGTACATAATATACATACTAAGGTAAGTGCTTGTATGATTTATGTATAGGTGCGTCAAAACAATAGCGGTGCTTACTCTGTAACGTCTGTATACAAGTGTGGATTAGGCATCATGATAATGTACAAGTTCTTGGGTAATTATAACTGTGCACGTCACGTGTGGGATGCGATATTATCTTTTTGTTGACCATTGTTGTTTATTGCAGACGTTTCAAACATTTACTGCAGATTTTACCTTTATTATGACGTCAAACCTTCAACTAGAAGACATTGACTTCTGCTTTTGTTTATCATTTTCCGTTTCGTTCAGTCGATTGTAAAGTATTAATAAGATTGAAGAAACTTTCTTAGATACTTTAAAATTTCATCTTTGTCTGAACTATCTCCCCCTAACCTACGTTAGCGTGACAGTATTTTCAATGTGAAAGGGAGAGGGTTTTTGTTCAGCAGTGGACATCTTCCAGCTGATGACTGATAATGTTTGTCCACACGGCTGGTGCTGCAACCGGCTGCTGCGCAACGTGTAGCGGGTTCGATTCCAGCTCGGTGCAACTATTTGTGTTATCCACAAATTGTTGTTTCTGGTCTAGGTGTCATGTGTGTATGTGAACTTGTATGTTTATAAACGCACCCACGACACAGGAGAAAATCCTAATGTGGGGCAACAAAAAAAAAATCTAGGCACTTCTATTTATTAACTCTTAGGTCTTTAAAAACTCTAGTATTAATGTATATTTTTGTTGTACAGAAGAGAAGGAGAAGACTGAGCCGGAGGACAATGGTCGGCTGCGATGTGAGACGTTTGACATCGAGCGCGTGCTGCAGCATGGGGCGCACCTCATGGGCTCTGAGGGGCACGAATACGACATGGACGAGGAGACTCTCAACGCTGCAGGTAACTACTGATTATTTGATGATTTGACTGCAACTGACTGCACGGTTGGTGCGTTGGCTGGACAACCGGCTGCCGTGCAACGTGTCGCGGGCTCGACTCCCACACGGAACAACACTTTGTGTAATCCACAAATTGTTGTTTCGGGTCTGGGTGTGATGTGTATGTGAACTTGTATGTTTGTAAACGCACCCACGACACAGGAGAAAATCTCAGTACGGGGCAAAGGTTCTGTAAAAAAAATTGATGTGGGTATGGGTACACGGAGTGTGGTGTGAGTGAGTTTTCTGATCAAACGTTACTGGGTTGACCTTATAACAAAAGAAAGGACATAGGTTGAGCTGAAGGTGTACTTAAGTACAAGGATTTTTGACCAATTGTAGTATGAGTCGTAGACTGAAAATGCTTCATATTGTCACAGATAATTTACTTCATCAATAAGACATTCCACCAAAGTAAACAAAAATTGCCAAGTTCTTCAAAGCTTTCAAACAGTAGGTAGACCTCAATTCCTATGTACATGAGCTATATGACCTCTCTTAACCCTCATAGATAGTTGACGTTCTAGAAAATTATTGTTGATGAATGGATAATGATCATACTGCGCCTGCGTACGCGTCTAGTGCGTCGCACGGTACAAAGAGAAAGCCAGTGAATCATTTGTGTATCAACAAAACGATATATTATGATTATCGTTAGGTATATACGTTTGATAAACTTGAACGGTACGGTAAATATTGCAATAAAAATATTTATGAATCAACTAGCATGTCTGGTTTTACCAGTGTGCTCTGTTTTTGTATTGTAGTTTGATCTTAAATCTTGCACATGCACAATTTTGTATAGTAAGTACACATATCACATTCAAATCACTAAAACAATTTGTGGATCAAGAAAAGAAAGAACGAAAAAGTTTTATTTCACACGCTTAAACAGGTGACAGATATAGTTCATAAATACTAATGTCCAGATAAATTGAACCAGTTCAGCATGTGCAAGACACGATCACACAAGGAGTTTTTTAACCACTGTCTCCACTGCGGTAACCGTGCAGTCTAATTACGTCATTAACTAAAAATCGCGGGTTACTCACGTGAATATACTGAGAAAAGCTCTACTAGTTTCGAACCACAGAGGGGTTCTTCCTCATGAGCAGCGTGCGCGGTCGCGGCGTAGTCCTTCCTCATGAGCAGCTTACGGACATCGCCGCGACCGCGCACGCTACTTTTAGTATGTCTCACGATAGTTATTATAACAATATAATTCCATCATGTTAAAGCCAACATGCTGCTTGAAGAACACCAATCTTCTGTAAATAAATGTTTTGGTAAATCGATAACAGGTTATCATACACGTACTGCGAAACATCGTGTATACAATCATAACAATACCAGGAAGGTACTTCGCTATTACTGAGAATTTCGACATTGATTATTTCAATAACATTTTGTCAGAGTGCGAATATCACAGTAGTATGGATGATCTTTAATTTATATAGTACCTGGTACCTACATACAGACAGCAGCAGGTCAAATTACACCTTTCTGTCAAATTGTTTTATTAGATTTTCAACTTTGTTTTAACATTAGTAAAGTCGAAAATCTAATGGAAGAAACATACAGACTGAAGTAGGTTTACCTGCTGGCGTTAATACTTCACCTTTTCTTTAACAAACATCTTCTTTTCTTAGATTCGAAGGAACGTCTAGCGAAACAGAGGCAGCAGTTGAACGCCCGCCTGGGTCTCGACGTGGCCGCTAACCTCGGCGTCGACATCAGCTCCATGTACACTAACGAGGACTTGTGTCCTACGAAACCCGCTGTAAATACAAATAAGACTGAAATCTGTAGGGTGAGTATCTACTATCTTCAACCTTAGTCAGTATTCATTTCTCTCGCTATTGGCGCTTATTGTTAGTGTTAGGACTAGATTACAGCTTTACGTAATCTGGTAGAAGGTTTAGCAAAAGATTTTTGATATTTGTAATGGGATGGGAATGGGACTACCCGTTTTGCGGTCTATAAAGTTTTAAAGGATCTTGAATTTTGTGATAATGTTTTATGAATTGCAAAAATACTTGCCACTTTAGAGCTGCAGCCAATAATAATCTAACTCATTTCGCCCTCCAGAGGCCAGTACAAGAAATAGTAACGTCCTCAAAACCATTAAGTTCCCGGGAGATGAACCTGGCGAAACGCAAGGCGCGGCTCGCATTCAGCAAACAGAAGTCTCGCGACTGCAGCGAGGACGGACCGTCCGCGCCGCCCACGCCACCTATCGAACCAGACAGGAAGAAGATCAAGTTAGAACAACCTGACGAGTTTGTGTGTAAGTACAATTTTTTAATATAACTATTTTGGTATTGACTTATGGTATAATGAGCAGGTAGCATTTTGATTGCGGTCTAAAATCGTGTCTTCGATTATAAAGAGGAATTGATGAACATCGAATATCCGAAACAAAATCTTATTGACATCAAATTACCTCTGTCTAAGCCATGGAGTAATATTACACATGACACCAAAGTCGAACTAAATTTAGAAATAAACAATAACATTGACTTTGAACTGACATTACACATAGCAAAACAGTCTAATTTCAGAGGTCACACGTGCAGAATTCCTAACAATGGTATTATCTCACTTCTCAGTTTAAAAATATAATACAAAACGTTTCCAAGTTGAACTAATTACATAATAATTTACATAGTTGAAATATGTACGTAATGTGCCTTCCATTTGGAAGGCATTTTGTGAAATGGATTGTATTTCATTCATAACTTTTCATAGTCCAACATGTTTTTGTTTAATATGTTGTAATTAATAGTGATGTTACTCACATTTTTGACTCGTGTTTGTGTCTATCGCTGTAAATAATTCCTTCATTTATCGTCAGGTTATGAAGTGCAAAAAATATGTTTGAATCAGATTTAGACCTATAACAGCCATCCATATTTTGAAATTACACACCTTTGTTTACCAAACAATTTGGAAAGAAACCTTTACTCCATTCGTATAATTTATAATTAGCATAATAAATGAATTATTAATGTAGGCTGTAGCAACGAAATCTAAGTATATATATAAAAGAAAGTCGAGTTAGTTACACTATTTATAACTCAAGAACGGCTACATTGATTTGGATATAAATTAGTGGGGAGGTCGCTTAGAACCAGGAGACGGAGATATGATACTTTTAATGAAGGATTTTCTGAAAATTCTACGGAAACGGAAAAATACTGCATTCCGCGTACAAAGGTCGCGGGCAAAAGTACTATTGAATCCTAAAGTGTACATATTACAATACAATTTCAGTATGCGTAACCAAGAATGATAAAATTGATTAAATAATCTAGCCGTAGTAATCTTTGAACGTTTGTAAATATTATTATCGTGTTTGTAACATGAAAAGTCAGTGATTACTTGATACTCGATTAGCAACGTGTTCCGAGATAATGGTGATAACGCTTATGTTAATTGTATTAATTACTATATGTAGGTACTATTACTTATAAAAGTAGTCATTTATGGAAAGTATGTACACAAAGCACCGCTAATTAGTTAGCGGCGCTACACATCGACACAACTATCATTTACACAATATACATGTGTGGGTAATTTCATATCAATAGATATGTATAGAAACATTCGTCTATCACACACATCTTGGTATTTAAAAATCATTTTTGTGTCGGTATACGCAATAATTTAGTAAATAAGTTTAAATAAAAACGAGGGTAAAGATAAAATTACTCATAACAAACTTTGAATAAATCGAAATCAAAAATAATGAACGATCGAGCTATACAATACCCATATAAATATAGTGCTTTCTCATTGTAATTTTATGTTACTGAATGATATAAAATATTTCGATGATCTCATCTACAGCGCGCTTGGCGCAATGGTTATCGCCTCCAATTGTCAAGTAAAGTGCCGCCGGATCGATTCCAACATTCACATGTTGTTTTAGAATTAATTTATCAAATATTTGAAATTAGAAACAATTAAATCTTTTCTTTTTTTCCTTTCCTATTGTTCTAAATCTTATGTTAATTTTAATAGTAAATACTTTAGATTTATTTATACCTATAATATCTTTTATTTATATTTTAGTTCTAGTTATTTATTATTTAGAATAATCTCATTTGCTTCATGCATTTCAACCAACTTAAATAAGATAAAAACAGTAAAAAAGTAATTAACTGTGATTTCTTAATGGTTCGATACCTGAGTATATTTGCAATGTTTGTGGCGACCATAGAAATCTCGAGTCATTTTATTTTACACGCTTATGAAGTAACTACCGACTATTTAAAACATGTTTTTCAAATCACCCGACTTACAAAATAATTGCGTTCTTAGTTGTCAATTTATGAGGATTTCATAGTTTATTGCTACACTACTTATATTCGTGTGCAAAGTTATTTTTATTTTTACAAGATGTTCCAACACCTATCAACATTTAAAAAGGCTGAAACCATTGTTTTGCATGAGCAAAACATAACTAACAATAACTGAAATAGCAAGGCGTTTAATGATATCGGTGAGTAAATAAGATACTACGTTGATATTCTAAATAATATTTATTTCATTTTGTAACTCGACACACCTATCAATTTTTGCACTAGAATAAAATAATTATTGCAACTTATTATGAAGTTCAATATTATAAAGATATATTAATAATTTATTATTAATTGTATTGTAACTTGACTTGTTTTTGTTAGGAGTGTTTCTTTAAAACATATCTGGTTAGGGATTTTTATTCCTTACGCCACTACTTAATTATAAATTATTATTCTAACATTGTGTTTACTTATATTTATTATTATTTTTAAGTAACTTTAATTCCTGTAAAGTATTTCCTGGTATTTTAAATACTTATTTGTTTGGTATCAACAGAGGAGATCCATGCAGTTATGGGTGCACAGATATGCGGAGACCGGTGACGTTAAACATCGTCGACGTGGGCCTAAACCAAAGGCAAATTCATCGGCTCGGCACTACGACATCGTAGCCAGGCACATGGCTGATCCGTTCCTGCCAACCCGCACTACAGCGACAGCACTGAATGTTTTAATACAAACTGTACGGAGACACCTGCATTCTGGTTTAAGGTGCAGGAAGCCAGAGAAGAAAATATTGTTATCTGTGGTTCACCAGCAAAAGCGCTAAGAATTTGCTAAGGACTTTATTAATTTTGATTGGGCGAACAGTGTAATCATATTGAGCGACGAAAAGACTTTCAAGTCGGATAAGGATGGGCGTAAAATATTGTGAAGAAAAGATGGAGAAAGGTATACGAATTGCAACCTTCTGCCTTGTAGGATCAGTGATTGTATTGATTTCGGAATCAATTATTGAGCCTGTCAAACTCTGCCTTTATTAAAATTAACATAAAATAATGTTTAATTTTTTTAAGAATATTAAAATGCTGTCTAGAACATACGGTGAAGTGATGTTATTGTTTTGTGGTTAGAAATTGTCATAATTTCTTTCTATTCAACATGTTTATTCACTTCACTTTAATTTTTCATTAACAAATTTATTTAACTGCTTTCGAACTTGATTGACATATTATATTTACGCCCATCTTCAATTAATTTAAAGTTTCCCTGATTCTAAAGGTCATGAAAGTTAAAATCGTTCCATAGCATTCGTCACATTCTTTTTACTATCATACAGCCCACTGAATATTGAACCTTATAACAACCGTCGTAAAATAGATAATTAATGGAAGTTCAAACGACAAAAAGTCGCCCATTTCAAGAAATATTATGTTGACAGTGTAATTTTTTACATGTTTTACTTGTTTATTACTGTAAAACTGTAATTTAATAATACATTATATTATTAAATTACAAAACAAGAATGTTGTATATTTGTTTATTACCTACTTAATAAAAAATGTTGCTGCCATCGTATTACCGCTGTACCGCATGATATTTCCCGATTCGACTATGAGGTTTATTGTCATATCTATTAATTATGATTTAAAGAACTTTAAACTTAACATGTGGTATATAATTAATTATTAGATATAAATATTGAATATAAAACAACATATTTGTATAATAAATAAATTAATTGTAATAAAAAATAGTATTGTTTTATTTACCAACTCATTTGCTTCTTTTATAGCCTGATATTTATATTTTATGACAAAAAACAAAAAAAAAATAAGAAAAATAACAAGGTAAAATAAAATTAACTTTTAGCTGGAATAGAACCCACATCATTGATCCTTGAAAGACGATAAAAGCGTGCTCATTAACCAATCGACCACGAGCACTACGATAATGACAGTGAAAATGTCGGGTCATATCAATGATTGTAAATAGTTTTAACCTTACCTATGCATTAAATTATAAAAATACGTATACCGACACAAGAATGAAAATACCAATGTGAACGTGGTGGACGAATATTTTTATATACAGTTATATGAAATTACGCACACATGTACACTGTGTAAATGACAGTTGTGTCGATGTGTAGCGCTGCAACTAATTAGCGGTGCTTTGTGTACATATTATTATGTAAATATCTCATATGTATTTCGCTGAAGGATATATCATGAGTACTCACTTTTACCTGGTTTTTTATAGGATAAGCCGGTAAACGAACAGACGTATCACCTGATGGTAAGCAATCAGCGCCACCCATGAATACCTGAAACACCAAAGCCGATACAAGTGCATTACTGGTCTTTTAGGATTTAGGGTTTAGGATTGTTGGAAATTGGTTAGGGGGGGATTGAGTCTCCGGTACCCTCACTCACACGACACAACAATGCAAGCGTTGTTTCACGCCGGTTTTCTGTGAGGCCGTAGTATCACTCCGGTCGAGCCGGCTCATTCGTGCCGAAGCATGGCTGTCCTACACCTAAGTGTATAAGTTTATTAGTATAGACATGACCTCACATGGGAATTTATTCTTCCGTCACTAATCGTCATTTATTAAACGAGACAATATGTCTTTTTCTTTCAGTCCCACTGTCATTCGTTTAATCTATCTTTGCATTGATCGTGTTCTGCCTTTCCAAACAGATTTAATTTCAGCACTCTTATTGTCACACGATTTTCATCCGTTCTCATAACAAGTCCAAAGGCAATAATGGAATAAGACCTAAGCGATAAACGTTTATATTTACTAACAAGGAAATGCAACAGCAGAGATGGTATTATAACAGTCACGTTTAATAGAATAAACTATTCGTTCGCAAACGGGGGCTGTCAATCTTAATGCAGTGGCAATTGAGCGGGTCGGGAACATATTGCACTCTTGATATAACCTTCGTGACAATTGGTGATGCGGTACCATATT